GTATATCAATCCTTGATGTTAATTCTCAATCTGTTCCCTATTAAACATGAAATTTTCTTAATATTATCATTCTTTGAACTCAAAAAAGACTTCAAAATTCAGTTAGTATCATTTACCAATATTTTTTCTTCTTAGCAATGTTTTTACCATTTCAAGATTCTCTGGCTAACCATTAAAAACTGCATTTAATACTTCTCCGATTCTTGATGTGGTTTAATCAACTAAAATAAAATTGCATATTAATTCTTTGCTCTTACACAGCGTTTCTTAAACTGCGGGTCTGCAGCAGGGGGTCACCAAAAAATTAAACAGTTTTGATATTTTTTTAACTTATTATAATAATTTTACAATTATCAGATATTTTTACCCAATGTATCTGAAAATAGATAAAGATAAAACAATACAGACAAAGAAAAAAGGAAAACGTTTTGAAGCATTCTTTTTTTAATAGAAATGTTCATTTTACTTGCTTTGCACATGATGCTGTCATTTTGTCTTTTATTTATTTAACATTTTCACATTGTTCTAAGTTTTAAAATTAAAGTTAATAACCTAAAACTGCAATAGTATATTAGAGTACAAGTGAGAAAATTAACAGTTTCACACATGCATGAGACGGATATGCACAATGCCTAATGGGGGTCTCACAAAATTTTCGTAAATATTACAGTGTCCTGGGGGTCACGAGAAAATCTCATTGATAAACACGGGGGTCACGACTGAAAAAAATTTAAGGAACCCTGCTCTTTCATATTTTAATGGTTCAATTAAACTATAATTTGTTTCTTCTTAATAAAAAATATTTTAAAAAAAGGTGATGACATGATACTGATTTCAAATTAACTTATTAATTAAAAAATTTATTAGATATTTACATTTTCATTTTATTAAAATATTCCTGCAGTTTTTCTAACATAACTTGCAGGCTAAAAATAATAGGGGGTGGGGAACCTGAAATGTTTCAGATTTTAAATTACACTCAAAAGGGCATTTTTTTACCATTTTGTCTTACATTTATTTAATAAATATCACGTCCTTCTCACTTAAACCATAAAATTCAGTTCAACAGCAATATCACATAATAGTTTTAAAATGAGCATATCTTTAGAATTTCCAATACAGAGACTCACGCAATAGAGATAAAAATGTTTTTTCTGTACAATGCTGCCATTGCTCGCTTTGAAATCCTTGAGTTTGTTAATAAAAAATTCTTTAAAGTTTTACAAAATAGGAAATCGATAATAAAGCAAATTCCAAATTTCAAATTTGGTCTTCCATACATATTCGTACGAAGATTACGTCATTCAAAGTTTGATGACTCTATGTATCATTGTTTTATCACAATGCAAGAAATATACACACATTTATGCAAATTTTTCATTATTTAATTTCTTAAAATATAACACAGTTTGACAATACTTTGTGGCAACAATATGAAAAGTGATTCCCTGTTTGTAGTGAATCGACATAAAATCGCAAAACGAAAACAATAGTCCTTCAAGGACTCCTTTGGACTAAATAAGAGATAAGAACATCTATGAAATAATACTTTTATTTAAAATATTAATGATATTGCTGCAAATATCTTTAAGGAATGTATAAACCACCACTGACATCTGTTTCATCCTTCTTACAAATATTTCATCGAACTAATATCATCAATTTAGTTTTAAATTAATTTTGGATATTCAAAAATAAGATACCATGTAACACACATGTAAGATTACTTTTGAATAATCAAAACTGTTGAAAATAGAACCTTCTCAATATTGTACATTTAAAATACTGAACAACTCGAAATGTTTTTCTAGAGTCTCAGCAATTTCATCCCCTTCCCATCCATCAATGCACAAAAAACAGAGTGAAGACTTCAAATGACATCCTTTCTACCTCTAACAAATAAAGATAAGAAACCATAAATAAATCTTTTTAGGACAAGCTGTCTGCAATAAATTGATACACTGCATCTGAGGAAACTACACCTGCTACAGCAAACCTTACGGGAGGGAAAAAAACATCAGAATTTCAGCCATTTTGGATGGTTGCGATCATTTGAATGACAGGTCGTCTGGGGCGTTATGGTCTTCAAAGAGTTAAACATGATAGATTTTACTTAGGTTTGTAGTGATTTATAACACACTAAACAGAATTTGACTAATAACAAATCTAGCTTGGAGAGAGAAACTCTTAAAGAATAAATTTCAAACAGACTTTTATAGGACAAAGCAACAGATGCTACTGTTATATGATTATGGTTCATATGCAGAAGAACAGTGCAACCAGCACTGCTTATTCAAGTTAGAACTACAAGTTTGGCTACATTCATGTATATGTCCAATTTCAAATATTTGATGTGAACAGCTCTTTGGTGTGCAATGATGTGATTTTATGTTTTGTAGCAAACCTGCTACAGCAAGGTTTCTGGTACACATTGTTGTATCTAAATGTTTACAGTGTAATAAAATATTATTTTAGTATGTGAATCTTTTAATATGATCCCATTTTTGTAGTTAATAATGTCTTGAGCTAAAAGAAAGCATGTGAACTTGAACATAACACAGAAACTGGCGCTAATTAGTAGTGTGTCTGTTGCTTGTGTTTGTGATCTCTGGTGTGAAGAAACAAACTGTTTTGGATATTTGTAAGAATAAAGAAAAATTTCAATAGCTTTTATTAATTACATTGTCGACAGCTCAAAGGGAGATTTCACATTAGGAAATAGGCAAAAGCTGAAATTCGTCAAAAACGAATAGTCAGGAAAAGCTACATACAAGTGGTTTTTCAACAACATTCAGTTGTGTTGTCATTTGTAGTGCTAACACTGATAAAGTTGACCTGTAAACACATTAATGCTTTTAGTGGCAGTTCAAATCTTTAATTATTCAACAATATTCAGTGGAAAAGCAAGTGGAGCTTAAAGCTTTTCTTATACCTTCTAATACTTATCTGTAAGGAGATTTTTGTTACTAATGTGGTTATGTACTTTAAATAACTTACTCAATTTCATGTACAATATTCTATTATTTTAAATATCATTTATAACACAATTTAGGATTTAATGGAATTCCAATTTTACAAACATCTTTCCACCCCAGTCAGCTTGTGAAATCTGATGATTTACTGTATTGTATACATATAAAGTTATAAATATTAACTAATGCATAATATTTTCAGAAATACTACTAAAATATTACTCACCAATGAGAACTTTTGTCCCATTGTTTTGAATTTAACTGAATATACAAAAATTACAGAAGGAAATAATTGGATTAAGGAATGATTTCAAGACAACATTTATATAAATATTCAACAAAAATTTGACTATTTAATACAAAAATTTAAACTCAAAAGCAAATTATAAATTATATTTATATGTTTATTGTATTCAAATTTGAAACCATAGTTAAACTACAATTCAATAATGCTTTGATATATATTATATTTGCTATATTTGACCCTATCATTTGACAACGAATTTTAATACAGTAGAATTCCGATAATCCTCAAACTAAGGACCGAAAGCTGTACGAATTGGAGTGTTTTGAAGTTTATAGATTCTTTCTAAGTTCTGTTTACACGCTTCCCTAAGCTGCCCCTTAGGCCTGATTTCAAATCTCAGTTCAAGGCACAGATATTTGTAAGTTATAGTATCTTTGCAGCATGGGGGTACTTAAAATACTACTGAGATGAAAACCTTCTTCAGAGGTTGGTGAAAGGGGAAGAGAAGTGGGAGACTCTTGAACCTGTCCCATGCAAGATTCTCCTTCAAATCTGGAGTTCAGTTGGAAAAAAATTTATTGTCACCTATTAAGATGCTCAAGGGCTAAACCAATGACAGGCGAAATTCTTGCCTCTTGACCACAGTAAAATCAATATACAGTCAAAAGTCGTTAATTCGGACACCCATAATCCGGAATGATCTATAATCTGGACCTCAAAGCTAAAAACTTTCTGCGCATGCACCGCATTGCACATGCGCACAGGCGTTTTATGCGTGCGCGTTAAGACCTTGACTACTGCGCATATGCGTGTGCGCAAGTGCAGAATTACTTTTACGCCTGCGCGTTATGTATATAACGACGGTTAAGTAAAATTATCTAATTATCTATTTCAGTTAATGTTAATGATTGCGTTGTCCAATATCTTGAATTGGATCGCGCTTATTATTTTTTTGCAGACTGTAAGACAATTTTATAAAAGTAAACTTGGAACTTTCGATTATGTCAAATGAATTTCGATGCTGGAACTTCCAAAGGATCTACAAAGGAGTATGTTTCGATGTCCAACAAACAAAACGTGGAATTGCTGCAAAATGGATAAAGACTGAAGAATGTGACAGAGATTGTGAAAACGAAAAATTTCGACTGACATTAGTCGTGTTCTCGGCACAGCAATTAACAGGACTTGAACCGCGAACTTTGTAACTGAACAGGAATTATGTCTGTTTTAAGAATTAAAGAGAAGTATTATCATAAAACGAAACAAATTAAACACTTCATTGAAAGAAATGTTAATAAATTAAATATATTAACTTTTTTTTTTTTTTTTGTAATTTGATGCCCTTAAGATCATAATTTGTTCTTTATTCATAAATAAATTACGGTTTCATATTTTAATTTTAGAATTTCTGCATGCCATCTTACGAAATTAAACTGATGATCTATAATCCGGAAAAATCGATAATCCGGAATCGCCGAAGTCCCGACGAGTCCGGATTAACGACTTTTGACTGTACTTCATCTAATGTTACCATCAGATAAAGAAAAGTAACAACAGCTATATCCCCCCTTTCTAATTTTTACATTATATCTAAATCGAACGTACATAAATACCCAAGTAAAATTTTCATATTTAAAGAATTAGTGGAATTTTTCTGTAAGAGGGCACCACTTAGGCTCAAACATGAATGCTGTCGTGAAAGCTAACTAGATGGAGGTCATCCTAATGATAAAGCTTCATGGAAAAAAAAAAAAAAAAAGAAGTAACAGTAATGAATCATATAACAATATATATAATATTTAATATGCACAATGCTAAATTTGTGCAATTCTCTGATGTCTTAACTTAAAAGATGTTAGAATTGCACAAATCTGATATCATACATAGTCTTGGTATTATGCACATTAAACATTGCAGATCAATTCATGATGTCATATAAACAAGTTATCAGAATTCATTCTTTGATGCATATTTGGCAATGGATACCCCATTTGCAGAATTAGTTAATTAACAATTATTGAATATGGCCATTGCATTTTTCAAATATATAATTACATACAAAGAAAACAATGTCAGTACAAAGGAAAACATAATAGAGAAATAAAATCAGAAAATGTTTAGAGAAAGCTAGAAACTCTTTTTGTAAAAGCATATTAAAAAAAAATTATGGAAAAAATTATTGTATATTCTCCAATGAAACTGCTTTCAAAGTAATTTTTACACTTTTAAACAACAGAAGAAATTAATTAACAATTATCACACTGTTTGTTTTTTTGTTTTTTTTTTTAAGCAGTAAGGTTTTCCCTAAATTGAATCTTTAATTCTAAGATTCATGTGCAACTAACACTACAAGAAATGCTGGAATTGAAATTTTGAGTTAAAAAAAGAACTGTTCTTTAACCAATCCTCTATTTTTAAAAAACATACCCTCATTCATCACAGATAAACATGCTCGACTATATGCAAACTATAATATGAGGTGCATTTAAGTTGAAACTGAAAATCTGAAAAACTGACAGCAAATAAAGTCTTGAAACATTTTTTACCACAAAATTTCAAAATTTGTAATCAAAGACAATAGACTATATGTCAAAAATTAAAGACTTATCTAAAGTAAAATATTTGTAGAGATTTATGATCCATGTTTACTATAAAAAGAGAGCTTAACACAGGTGCAGAAAGAAAGCTAAATAACTTCAGTAATAACTTAACTTCCCTTTTTTTATTCAAAAGATGTTATGAATATATTTTTGTTAAATAGTTAATTTGAATATACACATAAAAAATGTCATTTAATCTGCTACATTTGATTCTTTTAAAAAATTGTAATTTTGTTTCTACACATTTCAAAACTGAACATGTATCACAGACATTCTCAGAACAAATTTCAAAATTCAACTGCAATTTAATGTATTCCAGTATCTTAATAATCAAAAATTAAAATCTTAATATCAACATGCCCCCTCCTAAAAAATTGCAATAATAGTCCTTCAAACAACTATAAAATACTTTACAATGCAACATACAGCCCATAACTTCTGCATTGTTCTTGAGCACTTCTACAAAAAAAATATATGATAATGAAGTTTAGAAAATGGCTCTTTTTAAAGAGAAATTTATGTATAATTGAATGTAATGTCTTCAATTTATGTAAAGAATGATTAAAAAAATAATAATACTTCGGGATATTTTATTTACATGGAACTTTCAGGGTTGTTATTTTATGCACAGTGAGTAAATAATGCATTCTCCTATTTGAAAATTTACAAAATTCGAACACATTTTTTTATCAAAATAAATGTTACATATTAATTTTTAATAAAAATTCTATTCAAAATTCAATTTTAAGACAAAAATGGACAATTATTTTTATGCAACCAGTATGTTAATGGTGAGTTTTCCCCCATTAGAATCATTAAATAAAAAGTTCTCTAAAAACCAAATATAGTTCATTTTGTACAACCAAAGAAACTTAGGAATTTGAAAACTTATTTTTTACTTCTGAAAGATAGCCAAAATGAAAAAGTTAAATTAACAGATTTTTAAAAGTAAAATGTACAACAGAGACAGAGAAAGGCAGGTTTCAAAATTAAGGTTTAAAACCTATTGATTTATGTGCATGCCCTTTTAAGCTTCCTGTTTGTTGAACATACTATGACGATTCCCTTTGATAAAATGTTTTTCATACTTTACAGAAAAAATAAAAACTGTTAGATGAATATATTACACATTTCATGTCACTCTTCTTTAAAATTGTCCAAAATTACATTTAATTGGGGTATCCCACACGAAGGCCCCTTCCACGATTTATAATACGATAAGGAGATCGTCCACCACGAAACGGACCACGTGGTCCTCTACTGCCATGGAACATTTGATTACCAGGTGGTCGTAAAAGAGGTCTTGGGTGATTGAATTCTGGAGGCCCAGAGTTTTCAAATTCCATCATATGTGGATAAGGTTCCTCGAGACCAGGTCCAGGTCCAGGACCAGGACCTGGTCCATCAGGCCATGATCGTTTATGAACCATGTAACCCATATCATCAGGGCCAGGTCCCATATGACTATTCCTTGGGTCCATTTCACTACCAGGAAACCTTACACTGTCCCCTCCAAAATGTGGTGGCACACCTCTCGGAGGCATATTTTCAGGTATAAATTCTTCTTCTCCAGGATTATGATACCTATCAGAACGGCTCCTAATTGGAGGTCCAATATTATTTGGGGATTCAAATCCATGACGAAGTTCTGGATTTTGTAAAAGAGGTCCATGAGTTCCATTTTCATGTAACATTTCATCATTAGTTGAGCCATCAATCTCAGTGTGATGGTTACTGTAAGTCCTCCATGTTTCATGTGACACTGCCTCATTCCTTGGATGTTCATGAGGGAAGTTATCTTGGTTGTCAGGATATGGCATATCATTAGTTGGTACATTTCCTGTGGCTTCTGGTTTTGGCAAGGGAGGCACTTGAGGTAGATCTACAGAAGTAAAATATTTTTAATAATAAAAGCACTTGTAATTAAAAATATACCTCTATAAAGATTTTTTTGAAATAATATGATTTGCATTTAAAGGCTATTTTTATGCACATACTCACCAATGATAATTTTACAGTTAGAGCTCAGACAAACCATTTTAACAGTGACCAAAATAAGCAAGAAATGCAATGCATTTAAGTAATAAAATGTAAAAAGCCAAGCAATACAATATTAAGGTCATTAATGTTTTTCATCTAAAACCAACCTTCTCTATATGCATTTCGGTAAACTTTTACATACAACATATCTTAATTCTAATATGCTTTATTTGATATGTAATAAAATTACAAAATATTAGACGTTGAACTAAACCCTTTTATTTTTACATGAATTATTTGAAGAATATAAATTACCAAGATATAATTACAAATAGCAATGAAATTGCCCTGCAGAAGATGCAGTTCAAATAATAGATATTTTATTAACTACCTTGCCCTCATTCAGTAGTGAAGGCAATTTTATTTGAGTTATTAAGTATGATTCTTAATTAAAAAAAAAAAAAAATAAGAGATAAGAAATATACTAGCTCACAGTATTTCAGGTAAGACCAATGAGAAAGATACATTAATAATGTCATGTAGTTAGCAATAATGCACTAATATCAGGTATTTTCCTAGTATTATTCTTAGTATTTCAAGCATTATTCTTTATACATTTATCCACTCCATGAAAAAAACCAGAGTTGCAACAGCTTTAAACAAAGCACTATACAGAAAACACACAAGTAAACATAATTTAATAGAAGCATAAAATTTCTTAAATTACAGATATTTTCAATGCACATAAAACGTGCAGACTGAAATTTTGTTATAATTCTATGTTTTATATTATGTTTCTAGAAATATATAGTATACAAAAACATACATGCACACATATACAAAAGGAAGAAATAAGTTTAAATTCAGAAACTATTGTAAGCTATAGTAAATGGGTGGCAATATAATTCTTCTATTGTGGTACTTTTTAAACATATATCAGTTTATCTGGGGATTCTGGAAAATGTATCGGTTTAATTCTTTGCAGTAGTATTTTGATAAGAAAATAATTTCATTATTTCAATGTTACTATGATTTAAATTTACTCAGTTTGTTTATATATACATATATGTATATGGGATTCTAATTACATAGTCCAACATTTTTCTCAAGCGCTATCTAATTTTTAGCTGTTTACGGCATGAGTAAAATTGATGCAACTCTTGGCACTTCGTTATATGAAAGTGAGATGAAGGATGTTAGATGAATGCTGTCATATTAAGAAATTTTATATGTATTAATAAATGAACAATGTTGTATATGCTTTAATGTTTCAATAAATGTGTTTCGTTTCAAGATGAATTATGATTGCCCAAGACAAGAACCTACAAAATTGGTGTCAGAAATGAGATCAAATTACAGGCAGTGAATGGAGGAATATGAAGCAATATTAGATGAAAGAAGGAATACTTCTGTTCATAGCTAAACCGATACATCAACTGCTCTAATTTTCACCAACACTTCTTTTGCTGTTGCTGATGAAGATCATGATGAAAAACAAAATATTAGGAAGTCATCAGTTCAATTTCCATTTCCACAGTTTTCAAATACATATATAAAATTTAATGATATTGAAAGTTTGATTTCTAAATTTGATGGAATTAAAAATTCATGTTAAACGTGGAAAAGAAAAATTCCAAAATGTAGAGGAACAGAAGAACCCCATTCCTAAAGGAAGAAGGAAAAAATCCATCTAAGAAAGCTCAGGAAGTCAAAGAGAGTAATGGAAAAATTAATGAGTCCAAAAAGCCCACTTCAGGGCCAAAGAGGTCTAGAAAAAGAAACAATTCAAAATCAGAGAAAATTGTTAAAGCTAATGCTGGTGAAACAGAAATGTCAACAGTAAAAAAGAGTAAACAGCAAGAGAAACTTCGAGCTGAAATACTGGATTCTGGTTATGTCTGAAAAACCTAAAGGAAGACAAGCCAAAGGAAAAACTACTAATATTGAAATACATATTATTTTTAAAGATGACCAACCTATTTCTTTGAGACCCAGACATTTACCAATTATTGATAAAGAAAGTGTTCAAGTAAAACAGGAAAAAACTATTTTACAAATGGATTTGGATGCTCGTGAATAACAAGTTAGATCTTTGGAAAGAAAACTTTCTGTATCAGAACAGACTGTAAAAATCTTACAAAAACAACTATCAAATGTCAAGAATGAAGTAGAAGCTGCAAAGTTTCAGATGAGCACCAAAGATAAAATCTTGTCTGAGCAAGAAAAAGAAGTTCAACATGTTAAATTGAAAATGCAAGAAAAGCTAGCTTTTGAAAAGGATAACATGAGAAAAATTATGGAGTAGAGATTATTTGCTAAACAAGCAGAAGTGGAAAGAAAAATGTGTATTGCTGACGAAGAATTTTGGCAGTTGTGGGAAATTCTTAATGCTGATGAACGGGAATATTATATAGACCTATAGGATGTTGCTGCTGTTCCAACACCATCTAGTGTGACTTCAACTTACAAATCAACTAAACCTACGACAAGGTCATATAAGAGGCGTAAATCTTCCCTTGAAGAAATTTCAGTCCCAGATACAAGATTTCCCAAAGCAAAATCAGCTCTTAATTTTACAGCTGGAATTGCAAACAGAATGGTTTCACCTTTCCAGCAGATACCAATTATACTTCTGGAAAAGAAAATATTAAACAAAGAAATAATTGACATACAAATTCAAAATAATTTTGAAACTTGCCACGAAGAACTTCAAAAAGATGTGAAGAAACATATATTTAAGGTACAGCAAGAAAATAAGAAAACATACAACCTTCGAAGATATTCTCCAAAATGATATGAAATTAATGATTTAGTAGCAATCAAAAGAACTCAATTTGGATCCTATCCTAAGTTAAAATCAAAGTATTTAGGCCCATAATAAAGTTGTCAAAATAAAAAATAATGACACCTATGATGTTATAAAAGAAGGAGATCATGAAGGACCCACAAAAACAACCAAATGCGCTGAATACATAAAACCATGGGCCCAAGCAGATGAAGTATAGAATAATACTGATTATGACATTTAAACTTGCAGTGATACAATTGATAACTGAGCTGCAACGTTTCACCTAATAATGACTTTTATTTCAGCTAATTTTATTTTAAGATGAAATAAAGTTTTATGAAAATGTTAAAATTGGAGTTTTCCATTTTATGTGAAGATTCTTGAGAAATAGAAGGGACTGCTGATGATGCTATTGTTGCAAAGATGAAGGACAATTAAGATGTATCCTTTCAATAATGTCCTTAGCACACAATATCCCTCTCTCCCTTCACATTTTTTTTTTTTTTTTAAATATTTAGGATCCAGTTTATTCATGATGATGGTTCCGATGATGTAAGATAATTCCTGATGTCAAAAGAGTAGAATAATGTCGTTGAGGTCGATGCATAGCAGGAAGGCCGAATAAAGGAATCTAACTACATAGCCTAACATTTTTCTCAAGCTATCTCTAATTTTTAGCTGTTTACTGCACGAGTAAGATTGATGGAACTCTCGCTACTTTGTTTTATGAAAGAGAGATGAACGATGTTATATACAGTCATTAATCTGGACTCGTCGGGACTTCGGCGATTCTGGATTATCGATTTTTCCGGATTATAGATCATAAGTTTAAATCTGGTAAGACGGCATGCAGAAATTACAAAATTAAAAATATAAAACCATAATTTATGAAATAAAGAACAATTATGATCTAAAGGGTATCAAAATTTACAAAAAGAAAAAGCTTAATATTTATTTGTTTACTTTATTAAACATTTCTTTCAATGTGAGTTGTTTAAGTTGCTTCGTTTCATGTGATAATACTTTCTCTTTAGTTCTATTAAACAGACATAATTTCTTGTTTAGTTACAAAGTTCTGCTGTTCAAGTCCTATAATTGCTGCGTCGAAAATACCGACTAATTTGTCAATCGAAATTTTTTCGTTTTCAATAACCTCTGTGTCACTTTCTTCACTATCGGAAGCGAATTATAACGACAAGGAACTTGATTTAAATCATATCAAAGACGGAGTACATCAAAATGAAATACTATATTTAGTACGGAATTATAAGCCAAATAAAATAAAAACATCTGCCCTGAAGATAAGGATAGTGCTGAAAGATCAACTTCCGATCCATTGCGAGTCGCGGCGCCCCCCCCCTAGCCGCAGAGCAGCGTGAAATTAATAAACAGATTTCGGATTTTGAAACATACTTTTGCTTCGTAGATCCTTTACATATTAGTAAATATATATCGGAAATTCTATTTGACATAATCGAAAGTTCAAGCTTACTTTTATAAAATTGCTCTAACAGTCTGCAAAAAATAATAAGCCGGATCCAATTCGAAGATTAAGGAACAATGCAATCTGTAACATTACTTTAATTAGATAATTTTAGCTTAGCTTATACAGTCCGTTATACATTAAACGCGCACATGCATATTCGCAGCCGTAAAGGTCTTACGTGCACGCATAAATGCGATGCATGTGCAGAAAGTTTGTAGCTTTGAGGTCTGGTTTATGGGTGTCCGAATTAACGACTTTTGACTGTATGTGATAATAGATGGATGATGTCACATTAAGAAGTTTTATATGTATTAATGTTTCAATAATGTTGTATATGTAATGTTGTTGTTTCAATTGTTCAATGAAGAATGTTATACATGTATTAATGTTTCAATAAATGTATTTTGTTTCAAGATGAATTGTGATTGCCCAAGACAAGAACCCATATGTATATATATATATGTGTGTGTATGTTTTGGTGCATGTGTGTGCATGCATTATATTATAAATATGTATGTATGTATACATTATATTATAAATATGTATGTATGTATACATTATATTATAAATATGAATTCAAAATAAAGTAATTAAAATTAAATTAAAAAGCCTATGACTCGTGATAAAACTGCAAAGTAATACACCAATAATTTATAAAAAGAAAACTTTCCATATACCATCTCCAAGGAACACACAATTAAAACCATCAAAAAAATTTTTTTAGAATTTAAATTAGTATTTTTAAAATTTCAACTATTTGTTTAAAAAAATCTAAGAAAAATTTCAAAACCAAAAGTAGATTTTAAATATTGAAAAAGTAGTTATTGTCATTGATCAAAGATTAATTGACTTATCAAAGTGATAAACTAATCTACCATCATACTTGCCAACCTATGACACTCAAAAATCAGATTTTTTTAAGAAATCGGGAGATTTTTCACAATGTTAAAAAGACTTTTTAAATGATAAAAATATAGTTTTTAATAGTGAATTAACTATAAATAGTAACTAATTCTTAAATGCAAGCAACACAAAAATACCTTACACATAAAAAACATTTTTATTACTTGCATCATTTAAGGAAAAAAAAAAAAGAAAACCCACTTTAATCAGTTTTCTTACAAATGTTATAAACAGTGGCAGATTTTGCTTTCTTTAAGAAAGAAGCTTCATAATTTTGTTCATAGCAATTACCATGTACGCCTGCTTTCGCTAATAAAAGTTTTTCTAATGCGTCATCACTAATATTAGATCTAAATTTAGTCCTCGTTTTGCCAACAACACTGAAAATCCTCTCACACTCTGCATTACTATGGGAAACTGTCAAGATGGCCAACATAATTCCATCAGCATCTTTCAGTTTTCCAATTAAACTCCACTGGGTGTCAATTCTAGTTGATTTTATAACTTCATCCAAGTCCGTAAAGAAGCAGAATGGAGCTGTTTTAATGCAATCAATAATTGAAGATTTATTTTTCAAATCCACTTCTTTACCAACTGCACCTATTTTGGTTCTTGCACTTGAGTATTTCTTAGCGATTTGACTATCAACAAACATTTTTCTAAATAAAGCTGCAGCGTGATCCGATGCATTCAGTGGCAGGTTGTGCTCCAGTAAAAGGCAGAGAACATTACATTCTGCATTAATAACTTTTTGGTCCTTTTGTTTCCGAAGAAAAATTCAATTTTTCGTATTTTTCCAAAGCAACTCATACTTGTCCTTGAGCTTTTTGTGCACGCACATGTTCGAGAACATCCGCCTCTTCCACCATGCGAAATCGAAAAAATCGCTACAACAGTCATGGTACACATCGCAAATTTATTACATTTCCTTGAGGGAATGATGGAAGGAAAGTCAACTGTGTACGATTTTTGAAATGTACACGAGTATTTCACCTTTCTCGCAGACATAATAAATGATGATAATTTCTAAAACTATTTCGAGAAGGCACGTGTACTCACACAACTCAGGACAAAATGACCGAAATAACTAAAGAACATCCAAATAACAGCTTGCTTTGTCCTCATTGGCTAATATATGCCAGATGGCACGCTGTGGAGCAAGATGCCCATTGGAGAACTGGAGAACGATGTTTCTGGATATGTATATGCTCTCACTCACAAAGCAGAAGTTATCTAATTCGCAAGGTTTTGTTTTAGATATAATCTAGAGAAAATTCAATTGCTTTCAGACGTCCAAAATCACCTTTTTTTTTTTTTTTTTTTTTTTTTTGTTCATATAACAAAGTATTAAGCCAAGTTCCATAAAAATCGTGAGAAATTTTAAGAATAAGAAAAAGTCGGGAGAAATATATTGTAAATCGGGTTGGCGAAAGAGCGGTCGAAAATCGGGAAAGTTGGCAACTCTGTACCATCTATTAGCAATAACTAAAGTAAGAGAGTGTTTCATCTTACATCCAAGTAAGCATCAAATTATTTGCTAGATTCAACAATTAAGTCACATAAATACTTAATCCAAATAAAGACATTTGTCCCTTTAAGCCAAAAGAATCTCATAAAACAAAATAGCAAATAATCTTAAAAGTTTCTCAGTAAAAACTCAATCTGAACGAGATGCTTACTTTAGAAGACATATCCCCTACACTCTCATTCTCAAATTCAAAAACAGAAGTAAACATATTAAAAGTTGAATCTAAATCATAAGAAGATCAAAAATGATACAATCTTAAAAATAAAGTTTAAAACAAACAGTTAATTATAAATTCAAAAATCAAAATAGTAAGTTAAAATTAACAAACTTGCCTACAAAATTTTAAACCCAAATGGCTGGAAATTTAAGTATTAAGTGATGGGAGTAAAAGGGTTGTTGTAAAGTGCAGTTTTCTATTTAAGAAAGTTTAGCCTAAATTGGAGAGAAAATTAGAATTCTTCTTGGAGATAATACATAGAGAGTAGGCTGTTATTAAAATAGCCCTAAAAGCAGCTATATTGGTTAGAGTATCAATTCAAAATAAAGTAATTAAAAGTAAATTAAAAAGCCTGTGTATATATTAATGATGTGTTAGGAAAACAAGATATTTACAAACATAAGCCTATGAAATTTTAAGACCAACACTAATTATAAGAAATTTTATTAATTTGAGAGTAAAAAAGGAATATTTTTTTTTATAAAACCAAGTACCTACAGTTTTTCATTAATAAATTTTAAAAAACTTGAAACTTTTCTGAAGACATAAGCATAAGCTGGCACGCATGATTTTAGTGACAAAAATTAAGTTAAAATTGAGAACCTGCATATAATAAAATTAGTAATGCAACAACCTTGACTTTGGCATAGATTTAGCCAAGATCTCAATCAATTTTGAGGGCAAACAAGTACAGGTCCCTCTTTATCAGAAGCAAAGAAGAAGGACCTGTACCTGTTTGCCCTCGAAATTGATTGGGAACCTGACTAAATCTACGCCAAACTCAAATGTGCTGTGTTATGAATTTTACATTTCACTTGGCATGTTTCTCTTCTGTTTTCACTTGCATATAAGCCAAATTTAGAACCACCATATGAATAGACTTACAAATATTTTTAAAAGTGTGAATTACTCGTTGTCTAATTTTCATACACCTATTTAGATGAACTGAAGCTGAGTGGCAATTCACCTTCTCATTTGTAAAATAAATAAATAAAAATAAGAATAAGAGCATTGTAGAATAAAAGAGCACTTTTATAGCCAAAAGTTTCGTTTTCACAGTTTTTTAAACTTGAAAGCATGTACATCATCTGACAGTTTAGTAATAGGGTGGGAAATTTTACCCTGGTTTCCAGCTGCAGAACTTTCTATACAAATCACAAAACTTTTTTCTCCTACTCTTAGAATTCTTCATTTCTAATATTTAGTGAAAGATATCCAAACAAAAAAGGACTGCATATTCTGCTAGTTTTAAGCTAAAAGTTAACACTTTTGCTGAGCAATGCTATGGAGAGAATCGATAATGACATTTTCTACTTAGTTAGGAGATAAAAATATTAATAGTCAAATGAAGCTGATGGCATTCTTTTCTCTAGAATACAGAGAATTTTTGTAAAATTCTGAACGGATATAATAATGAGAAATTTGATTAATGCATATTAGGATTAAATAAATAAAAAATAATGCAAGCACCTTCTAATCTACACATGCATAAATTAATAATATATTCAACAAGCACATGTTCACAAACCTTTTGGTCTCTCGCCTAGAAGTGCAGAACGTTGTGGAGGTCTTTGCGACTGTTGTTCTTGATATTGATTTCCACTTCTAGTATTTGGTTGGAAATGTTGTTCTGGAGGCATCAACAAAGGCTGTGGCTTTGTTTCTGAATTAACTGGTACAGACACTTCACCTAAAATATTACATTACGAAATATAAACCACAAATACATAAGAATCATTTGATACAGCTGTTACATTTGACATCGAAAAGAACAATTACATGATGAATACAATAAAAAAATTTTGTGTAACATTAAATAAAATAATTAGTATGAAAGTCAAAAAACACACATTGATTAAATCATGATCATGGATTTTTAATCATTTCAGAAAGAATATGCCAGAATAAGTTTCTGAATTATTTAACTTTAACAAACACTACATTTAACACTAAAAACTATTTTTAATTAAACATTTGACCAAATATCATATTTAAAAAAAAAAAAGAAATATTACACTCAAATAATTCTATTACTCAACTAATTTATTTTCGAAAATACATATTTTCAAAACATTCAAAGAAATACATTCTGACATAAAAAAAAAAATTTACACAAAAAGAAATTAAATAATTATCCTTTTCTAAATGCTTTTAATGTAATAAATTAAGTAACTTTAAATAAACAAAATCAAAAATTTCCATGAAGCATTATATAGAAACAGAGGCAAATCCATAAAACAATGCCATTATGTAGGTGAGTAATTATGTACAACAGACACTTAAATATATCAAATGAAAAAACTTAAAAAGGATCACAAGATAGAGGCCATATAATCATAACTATAAAACAATGTTACATGTTTACCATCTTAGCAATCTCAAATACATGTAAATAATTCATCTAAGAAATGAGATGCAACCTTATATTGGTATTGATTTCAAAGATATGTTTTAAGTTTTGCTTAATAATTAAAGGAAGAAAAATATATTACAGATTGCAGCAAAATATATGACACTTTTCTTTAATATTAACAGATTGATAATATTAGATAAGGCTGCATTTTGTCCAAGTTTAAAATTCACACTAAAACAAGCATAATGAATTAAACAGAACTAAAATCATTATAATTTTTAATAAAAATAAATATATTTTCAACCATTACTGCGTTCTTCCTGGGGTGGAGCAAGTAATAATGGCTGTTTGCTTTCCATCCATTGCTGCTGAAACTGTTTAGGTATGGGCTTGGAGAAAGGAATTTTCTTTTGCTGTGTGCTTTTTTCTGTAGCAGATTCTTCTGATGTGAAATCAAGGCCAGGTATCACGGTAACTTCATCCTCAAAATTATTTTCTGATAATTATAAAAATCAAAATTATCAACCATAACTATAAACTTATTAACAAAATATGCCCAATTTAATAGCAATAATTAATTAACATAAAAAATTAATATTTTTGTTCTGTGCACATTAGAGCAAAGTAATATCCTTAAGTAGCTAACATATATCCAAATTTAAAACTGTAAAATCATTTCCTTAATTTAATTGCAAAATATCTCTAAGAATTACATACATAACCTACTTATAGTTTGAGTACATACCAAAAAACTTTCATACTGAAGCCTGAAAGTATTTACCGTAATTTCGCGCATATAGTCCGCGGACTATCTGTGTTTAAAATGCAAATTTTTGAAGCTGCGGACTATCCACCAGTGCGGATAATACGCTGGTTGTTCACGGTTAAAATCGTTGAAATTTAAAAAACACGCTGTCGTGAACTGCCGATGATCAAATATAAAAAAAGCGCGAGATTCCAAGAAAACATTCATATGTATCGTATCGATAGTTAACCATAGAGCATAGTGCAGAACGAATAAGTAGTAGCAAGTAGAGCTCCTAAAATCCAGGCTGGCGCATCAAGCGATGCCAAGATATGAGCCAAAGAAAGTCTTGTATGAGCACTCACTTAGTGCAACCAGAGTGTTGTATCCCAGTATCCTTCGCACTGCTTTAGCGCAACTGCCGGGAGGGGGAAAAGTAATTGATGCGTCAACTCGGTTTTTAGGAGCCATAGTAGCAAGTACCTGGAGTACGAAAAAAAAAAAAAAAAGCGTGATTTGTTTACTTATAGCGTGGTTTGGCAACACCGAGTGAGTGGGGTCGAAGGTCACATTTCATTACCACTTATCACGAGATATAGCACGTTGCACAGTATTTTTTTTCGTCATATTTTGTCTTTCATCTTCGATAACGTTGATGAAACATCGCCGGAGTTTTACTGCTGAGTTTAAACTCAAGGTAGTTGACAAAGATGGAAATAGAGAAGCGGGCCGTTATTGGTTTAATCCTAGTATTCGGTACACACGGGATTTGGCTACTTTTCGCGACTTTATGATGAGCAGTGAAAACGGGAGATATACGATGAGTAGTTAACGGGTCATTCAAAGAAAATATATAGTTAAACATAGTATATAGTATATATATTATGTGTGTATATACATATACTATGTGTGTATACTATATATATAGACCTTCTTTGGATCATTTTTGGTGTTGGCGATAATTTTCAAAGTCGCGCCTAGGCTGCATCGTATACTAGGATTTTACCCCGTTATTTTGAAGTGGACGAGAAAGCAGTGAGAAATTGGCGCAAACAAAAGGACGTGTTTAAAAAGCATGGGAATATTGCCGTATTAAAAAAACGTAATTTTGGACGCATAGTCCGCGGACTATCCGGTGGTGCGGACTATCTGACGATTTTTGAAATTTTTTTTATATAAAATCGTGTCTGCGGACTATACGATGGTGCGGACTATACGTGCGAAATTACGGTAATTTCCTTTTACATAACTATTCCTTGGGGGGGGGGGACTTTTCTGCTTAGCCTTTAGTTTTCAAGAAATAAATTCAAAAACAGCTTCATTATATACAAAAATAGAACCACTCTGACTTATTGATTCTTTGGTTATTCTAAGGCAGTTTATACGTGGTGTTTAATAACATATGTATGAAAAACTTGTTACACATGTTACTAAACACCACATATAAACTGCCATATTTTTATAATACAGACCTATACTGTTGCAATATTTATTCTTCCTCATTCACTTTAAGTTCTATTGTTATCAATAAAATGAAATTACATATTTCTAAGAGGGTGAATATTTAAAATAGTACCCAACATGGAATTTCCAAATTTTTTCCATTTACATTTTAGAAAATGGTATTACAAAACATCGCCTTTAAAACATTATATTTAAAAAAATGGCAAAATTTATGAAAGTACTATAGTTCTGAAGATGACAGCAATCACAGCAGTTTGTTGTTTTTTATTATCATTTATATCACTGATTAATTGATATGTATTGAACAGAAGATTTATCTAATACCTTGTGGTTTGAGATGCTCTGGCAAACCATATTCTAAACCCATTCCAGGAATAGATGATATTGTCCCAGAATCATCTGAAAGAAATGGATATTATTAACTAAAGATAAATAATCATTACTACATAAATATGTTCACCTAATAAGATAAATATAAAAATGCTATTATACAGCAGTCATTATTAATTATGAAGTTGGAAATCTTCAACAGTGTTTAATAAAATAACACAATCAAAAAGAAGAGCAATTTTCAGTTTTCACAAAATAACACAAGATGATGCAATTTGAAAAATCACATTACACCAACTACGAAATAAAAATACAGTTTTAATACATTTAATAGATATAAAGTGTCAATATATACAGCATATCCCCAAAATTTTATCAATTGTTTTTGATTGGTTCCATATAGTTTCTCAAAGAAACAAACAAACATTGATACCATGATATCTCAAAAAGCAACCATTAATTTCACATTCAATCCTGCTTCAGCTTTTGAACAATCTGCTTATGTCATGTTCGGACATTGTAACACTTTTAAAATACAACCAAATTAAATTCGGATTTAAAGGTTCAAAGCCACCATGAGAAATATAGAAAATTATTAAACAAGCATAGGCTGATAAATTATATGTTGTCTCTAAGCACAATGCACATTCCTTATGGCAGATGACATCACTGAAGGTTAATAAAAGGAGCAGATATTCTTTCAGAAGCAATATCCAATATGCATGTTCAATCTATTTGTATATTTATCATTAGTTAACACATCCCTGATGTTTTTGAGTAGAAAAAAGTAAGCCTCCCATACTTTTCTGTGTTTAAAAAAAAAAAAAAAAAAAATTAATACCATGATATCTCAAAAAGCAACCATAAATACTGCTGGAGTTAAATATGAATCTAATGAAAATGATAAAAAGTGGCCTCAAAGTTCTCAACACGTTAATAATTAGAAATAAAATTTTTATGTTTTGAATAAAAGTCATTCATGTTACAAAAATCAAAAGAAATTTACACTATTTGTCTGAAAGTTCCGAGAGAGATTTCGTTCCTGGCAAATAAGCATAACTGGGATTCATAACTAGAAAAAAACTGGGAATGCAATTCCTGGGTGTCATGGTTCGACTGAACAAAAGTATTTCCATGGATTCACCCAGAAAGATGGAAAGAAAGCAGTTTCTACTTGCTGCATGATAAAGCACACCTTAGAAAGCTGGAGTTATGGTGCAGTTTCTAGGCAAAAAAAAAGTGCCAGTTCTTAATACCCTACATATTTCACTCGATTTGGCACCGAGTGGCTTTTTTTAATTCCTGAAAATCAAACTCCACATGAAGGGTCAGTGCTATCATGGCATAACCAACATATTAAGTTACAGTGACACACAAATTGAATAATATCCCAAACGAGTTTCCTGCCAGTTTCATGTCATTGTATGACCTTTCTGTGTACTGTACTCAAGTGTGTATGTGTGTGTGTGGGGGGGAGACTACGTAGAATACCTGAAGTATTAAACCCTTCATCTTAAGTTTCATCTAGTTTTTATTAATCCAGCCTAGGAACCTTTTGTACAGTACGCTAGGAAAAACCAAAGCTTTAAAACTTAAAATCATATTCACTGATTCATTTAAATTCTTATGGGAATACCTATTATGAATTTGAAACTGGAGGATATTCATTCAATAGCATGTTTATTGCAGAAGTAATAAATTATCTAAACAAAATTCAATATGTCATCAAAATAGAGATTGATGCTATCTCCATCCAATACCAGAACATGCTAAATTAAGTTCGCTGCTACTACATTACAGTTAACCATAAAGAAGTAATGATCACTCAATCTCCAACTAAACAGACATCATTTTGTTTACCAGCCCCAAAATTAAAATAGAGAAAACATAATATGGTCAATTCAAAATGCTGAAAAGGCAAATATAATTAATCCAAACAAAGTTCCTGAACAAAAGTTATTCAAGGCATTTAAGAGACCTCCAAAATGATCAAGATTTGTGCCAAAAGAGATTATATACTGGAACTTAATCTGCTAACTGGTACAGTTAAAATACATTATTCTTAGAATCTGTCTTGGAATTCTCTATGTATTTTGTGAAATAATCAATTATTTAGTGAAAATATATAAAAGCAACATTTCCCACTTGTTATTATTTGAAAGCTACTATCAATTAAAATTTATATTTCAAGAAATATGGAAAACTAAATACAAAAGGTTACAAAGGACAGATTAGGCCATTAACACTTCTGATAAAAAATTAAGAGTTAAGTATAAATGCACCAATATATTCACATAACAACAAATCAAATCATATAACTTTGATCTTATTTCTTGACCTAACATGCAAAATCTTTGGCTTTCAGCGCTCGGAAGTAAAAAAAAAAAAAAAAAAAAAAAAAAAAATCTGGTCAAGCAGAACAGTTTAAAGACTGTCTTTCAGAAATGTTACAAAGATATCGGCAAATCTATAAAAAAGCATATTCTTGTGAAAATATCTTATTTTGAAGGTGAATATGTTCCAGATGATTATAACTAAATTACCTCAGAACTCAGTTTCTAAACCTTTGGACTTTCTTACATACATATAAAATTGAAATACACGTATTAAAAACAAAGCAATTGAGTCATGTATTAAAAACAAAGCAAGCCTCAATAAGCCCTCTCAATAAAAACTGAACACATTGCACTTACATTAACATATATACATGCAATATATAACACACAAGAATTCAAACTTGCACAAGACACAAAAATTCCTCTTTCTCTAGTTATACATATACAAGATGCAATTATTACTATTTCAATTATAGTTTAAGTTCAAAAATTCTTTCTTAATGTAATTCAAATCAATGAATAATAACTTTGCAATACCATAATCAGCAGCATCCTCTTGTCCCTTTGGTAATGTGTTTAAGTTATATTTATCACGCATTCTATCACCTGGACGATTTCTTGTCCAAAATTTACTAAAATGAAAATTCAAGCCATAAATTAAAATATGCACATATATATAAATATATATTGAAAAGTTAAAATTACACAGTAAAATCTTGGCTCATAAACACATTACATTACAAATAAATCAGTTTATGAATAAATTATCTCACCAAAAAGTGGAAGCAATGTCACTATTTATATGAAGACTTAAGTCAAAAACAACCATTTTCTATAGGTGTTTTGATATAAACTTTGGCAGAGAATTAACATTCATATTATTCTGTAAACATCATTTTAATTACTTTTTACTGTTTAACTTTGAAAATGCAGTAACTTGCAGGCCTGTCAGCGAAAAGGTAATATTGTGTTGCAGGCAGAGTTTTTAAGAGCTTTCATATTGGACCTTTTAAACATCTATGATATTGTATATATAGCCAAGAAAAACGAGTTTGGAAGTTTATAATAAAGTCATGAAGAACTTACTAGAGAACCATAAAAAAGAGCTCAGCAAGAAAAGAACTGCGACATCTATAGAAACAAGAACAAAAACAAAAACAAAAAAAAAAAAAAAAAAACTGTGGGAAAAGTGCTTTTAGATGAAGATGAACAAAGAGAAGTTAAACATAGTTCTTTGATCTTTAAAATTTTATAACTTGGTTGAAAGCATGAAGTTTCATTTAACAAAACCACTTTGATGAAGCACTAGGAAGCTACAGAAAGCATTTTCAATGAAAATGCCATGTCACACTTTACAAACATTTTGAAACGTAGAAAAAAACAAATCACACTGAAACAAATTTTGAGTTAAATGAAAACTTAGTAAGGTCTCATGCAGCACTGACAAATGCTAAGAGAAAAATAAAAGATGAAAGAAAATGCCCTAGGGCATTTTGAGATGATGAATTTATGAAAGGCACCTTCACCTCAGAAAAATAACATCTCTTCCTCATCATTTTCCCTTTATGCCATTCACTTTTTTTTTTTTTTTTTTTTTTTTGTATGGGTACAGGAATATTAAGTTTAATTTTTTGTCTTTTTTGCCTGCTTAATATTGTATTTACTTTTCCTTTTCTTAGATTTAATGATTTCCATTAATTTTGTGTCATGACTTTGGGCTTAGAGTAAGTACTATTGTAAGTTTTAAATAAGTGATTACCCTAAAAATGAATTAATCTATTTTACATTAATTCCTACGAGAAAAATTGTTTCAGTTTATGAAAATTTCAGATGATGAACAATCATCAGGAATGAACAAATTCGTAAACTGAGGTTTGATGCTTAATCTACAGAAGAGAAATGAGGGAAAAAATTAGTTTCTTTGAATTACACACTTAACAAATGGCCCCAAACAAACTTTTGAATATATGTTCAAAAACATAATATATTTAATACTGAGAAAACTGCCTTTCATAAAAAATATTAAAATGAAATACAGCATATCAAAGCATAAATTTTTTTAAAAATAAAATATAATTTCAGAAAGCAATATACAGTACAAAGTCCATAATTTGGACTCGGTGGGTCTTCGGCAATTCCATATTAAGGGTTTTTCTGGATTATAGATCATCAATTTAAATCTGGTAAGATGGCATGCAGAAATAATACAATTAAAAATATTAAACCATAATTTATGAAATAAAGAGCAATTATCATCTAAAGGGTATCAAAATTTATGAAAAAAAAAAGCTTAATATTTATTTGTTTACTTTATTAAACATTTCTTTCAATGTAAGTTGTTCAAGTTGCTTTGTTTTTTGTGCTAAATGCACATGCATAAACAAATGTGCATGCATAGCATTAAAAGCGCACGCATAAAGCATACAAAAAAAAAAAGTTTGTGGCTTTGAGGTCCAGATTATAGATCATTCCAGATTACAGACTTTGTACTGTACAATTTTAAAATACTCTGTAATAAAAATTGCTTTAGATTTATAAGGCATTTTCTCCTTTTTTTCAGCATGCCTTTGTTGAGTAATGGTAGCACATCTGGCGCATATTCGAGAGGTCAAGGTTTGAGTCCCGGCGAGGGCATTGCTTATTTTTCATGTACTCCTGCTTCCAAGAAATCCTGGCGAATCTACAGTGGTGCCCAAACTAAAAGGTGATACAAGATTTGGCAACTGGGTCACGGAATCTCCAGTTACCCTTTAAAAGGGAGAGCATATAAGGTATTTTCTCTCTCCTTTTCTGCAAGCCTTCAGAAGGCTTAAGGCTTAGCAGCATACATAAAGTAACTGATTAATAATGCTTATGAAAATGCAAAATATGAAAAAATAAAGAAAAATTGTAAACTAAGTAAAATTAATGAAGCGGGAAAGGAAAGCATACTCTTTAAGTACATAAAAGAGGGAAAACAAATGTTATTGCTTTTTAAATAATATAAAAATCTAATAATTATATATCTATAATTAATATAAAGTTACATAAATAATTGATATAAAAATTATTATATTTTATGCATGGTAAAAGTTTTAATAATTTTTATAGCAAAAGAATATTTGCATTTAGAGGGTTCATACAAAATTTAGCACTTTGGCAAATATGCCAAACAATCAAGCTAGCTTGACCTAATTTAAAAGTTGAAAAATTACTAACAATAAAAAATTTAAAATACAAACAAATGCAAAGAGATGATAAATTAGGTTTCTTTGCTTGTCATACTTTCCAGAAATAAGAGTATGGCAAAGCACATTTAGTGAATGCTAACAAATGAAGTAAAAAAATCTATAGCTTACAATAATAAATCACTTATACCAAGTGAAAAAAATATTCAATCATTTATAAAGAAATCAGAAAGTACGATCCAAAATAAATGTTGCATAAATTAAGATTATTAAAATAATCGCAAAAACTCAACAATTCATGGTGCACTTGTATATTATTTAGTAAGCAAAATGTTGATTCAGTAATCACCATGCTTCTCAGATACAGGGTTGCCACACAAACAGGAGAATGAAATTCCCTGACTTTTCCAGGTGTGTTTCAAGAAAATTCCAGTCTATCCATGTAATGTACGTTGGCTGTGCTAAGAGGTAAATAATTAATTATGGTATTACTTGTATTCTGTAGCAAATTCACTTAATTATTCAATAAATCCCAGAGGACATTTATTCTTAATTATTCTTGATATACTTTGTTTCATAATTTTGTTTACTTTTCCACTTAAGAAACTTAATAAAATTTAAGATATATACATTGGATAACAAATGTATGTTTTATTTAATTATTACTCATGATCATCACCAGTTCAACACAAGGCTGATCCGGTCCTTATAAATCACAACGCAATGCTAAATAGTTAGGTTAGATTTTAGGTAAATTTAATTTGTGTGAGGTATGTTCTTAAAAGGCACCTTAACATTTGAAAACACAAATATAATTATATAATAGTTGTTGTTTTCTCCACTGAAGATTGAGATTAGAATCTTCCCAATCTGGAATAAAATAAGGCTTTTTTTGCAGACATTCTGCAGCTAAACGAAAGAAGAAATCTATTTTAATAAATTGAGGTATTTTATATTTATTTCGCAGCATACATAAGGAAAAATATGTGCATTAAATTTCGTGATGGTATGTCATCATACTGCTAGAATTAATTTCAGGATTATGCCAGAGAAAATTTCCTGAAATTTGGAAATATTATTTACTAATAATAAACAAATTTAGAGAGAAGAAGCATCATTAAATTATATGAATGACATAAAAATAAAGATAATTACTTGAAAAATGAATTAGAATTATCAATGATATTTTAGCGAATGTAGTTATATTACATGGTTAGCCTAGATGACAGATTACTATTTTTTTATTTTATTGTAAAATGGCAAGGTATTTATTAGTTAAAAGAGAAAAAAAGAAAAAGGTTTAAAAAGATTTTGTGGTAAAATTCTAGTATACGATAAGGCCTTGGCACGATTTTGAAAATTGCCGGCAAGACCAAAATGATGCGTTTACTGCGCATCATCATGTCGCCAAATCCCATTGTACCATACATGGAGATTATTCTAACCAAAGAACGTCTATGTAAAGAAGAAAAGGTTCCATACAAGTAAAATGCTATTACGCCGCTAGAATGCGGAGGGAAAATTTGCCAAAGGATTTGGCGACGGAACCTGGCGGCCAGAATTTCCCTCTCCGCGATGTGTACAGGAAATTGAGAAACACGTGTTAAGAAGAAACGTTCTTTGACAAAAAAGAAAACTACGAAAATCCGGTTTTAAATTATTGCGATTCGCAACAGTTTTAAAAACGGATTTTCGTACTTTTTTTTTCCCCCCGAAAAGAAGTAATCCATGAATTAATTTACTTGCGCTAAAAAATATTTTCTTTTTCTTTAGAGTTTAACCACTTGCGCTAAGACTAAACTTCACGGTTGCGGTGCTGTGCGCTATAATATAACAAGCGGTAAAGTGTCTCATTTACGCCGTTCAGCATCTGTGAATGCAATCCAGAGCTGTAACTCGAGAAATAAACAATCTCGTTGTTAGGCGACGTGTGCGCCCCGTTATTTTCATTTTTGCGATAAATGCTTATCGACGTGGTGTCACGTTGCTCGCAGTTTGAGACAAAAGCATCTCGACGTGCATGGATTTATTTTATGAACTCTTGATAACGTGACCTTCGAGCTTCGACACTGGTTTTGAGCTTTAGCAACAGATATATCATGCATGCACAGCTGTTTTCCTCTATGATGAAATGGAGCCACGTCTGTTGCAGAGAGGTTTTCCTTCTTTACAATACATATTCTTTGATTCTAACCTCCATGGTACCATATACTAGGATTAAACCCATTTTGTGTTATATGAGAACAGGTACTTTCTTTAGTTCATGCACTGCACATGCGATTCTCGAGAATACTGGAAACCAAAAGTTGCGGGAAACTTGCTTTGCCTTTCTAAAAGACAATCAAATTGGAGCTGCGAAAATTGGCTCTATGCCAGCTGCCCGAATGACACTCACGTGATACACAGTTCGCCAAAAAAGTTATCTCTTCCGACGTCGGCGCAAAAATCACTTTTCTTTGGCGGAATCGTTGTATGAAATTCCCTGACTTTTCCAGATTTTGACAAAAATACTTAAATTCCCTGACTTTTTTGGTCAATTTATAAATTTCCTGACTTTTTCCGGTTCTCCCGGTTTTCCAGGTAGCATGGCAACCCTGCAGACATGTGATTTTCATACACAATTTCAAAGGCTGTCCAAATAAATACACAGGTGCTGCAGATGCTGAGAGATACTTGTTTGGAAAATGTGTATTTTTGACCCTCTACACTGCATTAATTACTTACTAATTTAAAATTATTTTAGATGCATGAAAACTTTTCTACTTGCTTAAGTTTTATATATAATGTAGGGATGAATATAAAAACCTAAATATTTATCCATATTCAGAGAAAAGTTATAATCTTATTTGAAATTTGAATTTCCTGGGAAAATCTATACAATATTTTAAGACTAACTTTTAAAGCATTTGTAAGTTAGTCTTAAAAAGAAGTCTACTTATAACTGCTTCAGATCACTTCTTTTCTTGTAAACTGTTATAACGTTATATTCTCATATAACGTTATATTCTCATATAACACAAAATGGGTTTAATCCTAGTATACGTGACTAGGTATACTACGTGTTATGTGACTTACTCCAATTTCTAAAAATACTCAAATAATACACAATCCAATAAATATGAATAAACTAAAAAGGTACTATTAATGATATAACACTGAATAAGATTTAACTTAAACTGAGTAAGATTTAAGAGTATTGAAATAGTATTTAACCATGTATCCTGACAAAGTTAAATACTATTTCAATATTCTCATCATCTCAGTTCTTTTCAAAATAGTAATTAACTGTTAAAAATACATATTTTAAGCATAATAATGGCTACCTTTACAGATAAAATGGCCAATGTAATAACATTTCAAATGAGGCTAAGTAGCATTTTGATTATTAATGTAAAGTCTTAATGATTATTAATGAAAAGCTTTATATAATTCTGTGGGCAGGTAATTTTCCAAAGCTTGAGACATACTCCCAATTTACTAGCTTTTCAAATAGATAAATACATTTTTTTTATTTATGGATTATACTACTGATTATGAAACTGTCTCCAAGAAGCATGATTTAGCTCAATTATGGATAACCATGCCATAACAACAAATATCATCTGCACTTTCGTTTGATGTAACATCAATTGATTCTCAATAAGCCACTTTTTATGAACAAAGATATAAATGAACTGTTATTGCTGTACTTTTTTGCTTTCATGTGAAAAAAAAAATGACTTCAAGAAATGTAGAAACACTTGTGACTGCACTCTGGGTCATTTACAGTTGTTTGAGAGAATCTGATTAGATGTGGGAGAAGACAACTGTATACTGCCTACAAAACAGTAACAGATTGGAATAATCACCTGAGGAAAGTTTGTACTTACAGCATTCTAAACAGAACTTCCAGTAAAATTGAAGGGCCTAATAAAATAGCACAAATCAGCGAAAGCATTTTTACAAAGTGCAAAAACAAAGCCAGTCGATTACATCCACATTATTGGCTATTTGGTGGATTGTGCTGAGAGAGTTGAGTAATGTTTTACTGTAAGAGGATCAACTATGATTGCTGCAACTTTGACAGAATATCTGACAATTTTTGTGGTTCAATGACAGCCAACTTTCATGGTTAACATGATAACATGCAAGTATCATATTTTTTATAATTTAATAGCTTTTTGAAATTGATTTGACAATAACTTTTTAAAAAACTTTTACTATATTTTAACTTTATACATAAACTTTTGCATATATTTTGGTTCAGAAAAATAAAACTCAATTTACCACTTCAAATGATAGTTAAGGGCAACAGTTCACATATATATTTGTTATAGTTAGAATTCTAAATGTTACATTCACAATTTTAATTATTTTAAATACTTGGTAATTAAATTATACTTAATTATTAAAGACTGAATATTTTGCACTTTATTATAAAATTTTGATTTTATTATCATACAATCACTAAAATACAGAAAAGCTACATTCATCAATAAATTTAATTTTACACATGTAGCAAAGCACATCTTTTTTTATTGCTTTGTCAAGTTGTATTTAATATTCCATAAAATTCTGAATCATCCTACATTTCATTTCATCACAAGAATTTTTCCCAGTACCCATCCAGTCCTTATTTCTTACTGTGCTTAACTTCTCGTGTACAGTCATGCTTAGTCACTTTGCTTGCAAGCTTGAGGAATAAAAGGTTATTAGACTGTAACCAGTATAACCAGTATACATTTTTACTTCCTTGTATAAAGCAAAAAGGAAGTATTATAATCGCAGAAAATTTTCGGTTTAATATTTCAAAAGAAATATCCATTTTGACTGTTCCTGAAACCATTCAGATGAATTTTTTGCATGATATTTGTATGTACGGTCAGAATAAAGAGTCTTTTTTTCAAAAGAGATAGTAAAATGGATTCAAAGGGGATTTTTTTCGTGTACGTATATACATATGTATGTACTTTGCATAACTCAAAAACTTATTAGTCATAGAATGATGGAATTTTGTATTTGGGACTGCTATAACATCTAGTTGTGCACTTCACTTTTTTATTACAATTAGCAGTACCAAACATATACATATACACATACCCCCTTACCCGGCCTTTATTTTCATAATCCTTGGCCACAGTCATATACTTCCAATTACAGAAGCATTTTAAATAATGAAATTAAGTGCGATATTTCAAAATTTGCAATTTTTATGTCATTTTCAATTTGCCTTGAGGAACTGATTAATGAAACTAGAATAATTCAAGGAATGCAGCAAACACACAGATATATTTAAATGATGAAAATTGGCAGTGTGTAATACTTAAAAAAAAATTGGACAAATAATGAACTATAACTTTTAATGTGGTCTCTCCTAGCCTATATTTGGGAAAGTTTTATACTGTTTAGGGGAAAAAATACAAGAAGTTTGACTCCAAAACAAAAACTGACCAGGGTATTTAATTTCAAAATTTGCTGTTTTTGATGTCATTTTCAACCTGCTTTGAGGGATCAGTTTATTATGTTAGAATAATTCAAGGAAATAAGTTTAAATGAAATACAGTAAAAGAATGTGTTAAGTAATGTAGTGTCCACATCAGATTTTTTGTTGTTATATTCAAATCATCAATCTTTGTATATTTATTGCATTCAAAATGTATTTTATCTGTGTGAGATTGTGCACAATTTTTTTAGTTACATTAACTTTTTTAATTGAAACATTTTTCCCCATACGTTTATTATTTTCTTTTCACACTCAGACTTTTAATGCTCGCTTTATGCTGTCTTTTATTCAAACTTCAATGGTTTAAGCATTTATTATATTATACTCAAAACGTATTTTATTTACGTGAAATTATGCTTCCAGTTTTTTAAGTTAAACTTATTTTTTGATAAATTTATCATTTTTTTAAAATTAAGTTACACTTATTTTATAATTAAAATATTTCATCCTTCAACAATTTATGACTTTCTTTCCCTGTTTGGTCTTTCTTAATCAATGCAGAAATACAATTCAAAATACAGCATTTTTGTGTGTGTGTGTGTGTGTGTGTGTGTGTGTGCGTTTGTTTGTTTGAGAGGGGAGGTGAAATTGTGTTTACATAAATTTTATTATAAATAATTAGATTTACTAGTTTTGTTTATTAAATTACTTTGAATTCATATCAGTTCTACCATAGATAATTTATTTATACAATTTAAGTTTGGAGAAAAAATTTCATTTGGTTTGTTTTATGCTTTTAATTATAGAAATGTTATAATCATACTATAATTATTTTCATGCATTATGAAAACAGAACTCAAGTTTTCATCTCCTTAATTCAGAATAGTTTCACCTCCTTGATATTTCACAAAGCTCCATACCATGACATGTTTTCCTTCCCCCCCCTTTAACTGCTGCTCTTTTGCATCTTTTAGTAGTGCTGTTTGATTGGTAAATTTCAGATAACTTCTGGAGTTCTGAAATTAAGGGTGCTTATTATAAAGATAGATCTTTCAGCTACTATGAGAACACCAATTTAAATATTAGTCCTTATGTGTACTGGTCTTGTTAAATTTAGTGACTGTTCACTAAGAAAGGATCTCTGTTTAATGCACATGTTGTGACTCAGGCCCAAAGAGTTCTTTTATAACACTTAATGGGATATACAAATAAAACAATTTTTAACATTGTTAAAATTATATTTTAGTGATTTAAAAAAAATTCCCTACAACAAAACTATACTTTACTATACAGGATCCATATTTATCATAGGATGTTTACCATTATGAAATGAAAATTAACACTTGCATTGCATAGCCAAGAACAAATATGTAATATTAAAAGAAAAAAAAATCAGATTTATAAACTGTAAAGGAAGAAAAAAACCTTCCCCCCCTATAAAGCCCCTATTTTTTAATTGTAAAGCAACAGTTACAAACCTAGAATGATCATTTGAACCAGAACACAAAATATGTCCAAGAGGATGCCATGCAAGCGACCAAACACATGAATCATGAGCTTGTTCCATACAGCCAACTTCTTTATCAGCACTGAAAATGTAGATGACAGCAATTTTAAAAATTAAAAATATAAATCTAAAACATTTTTTTTTTTTTTTTTTCAATTTATATTCTTAGGGTTTTTAATAAAATTACTGGAAACTGCATAAATGAAGATACAAAACAAAACAAGATTCTTAATATTAAATTTGGCATGAGAATACATTTTAAAACTCTAACTGCAAAACATGAAAGCCATTCACTATATTTAAATATACTACTACCATTATTTCTTTGATTCTAAAACCTACTTTTACCCAGAATAAACACCTCTGAAAAAAAATATTACCATTACATTATTATTTCTTTAATATTCTTTGATTCTAAAATGCACTTTTACCCAGTAGATACTTTTGAACTGAGTATTTATGTTAGAATCAATGGCATTTTAAAAACCACAGTCTCGAAGCTTCCCATGCTTTGCCAATAGTAGTGCTTTCCTAACTGTTTGCTTTTGTATATCTTGCTCTTTCAATAAACATTCTATCACCGAACCTCACACAGAACTGCATATTATACAAACACAAATATGGTTCAGGAGAATTAGATTCTATATAAAATAGATTCTCATATTAAGGTGCAATTGTTCCAAAAAAATTACTGGCTCATAGATAACTGATGAATAACAAACCAAGAACTAAGAAGACTTATTGCCAATAAAATGAATTCTAAATACTTGTAAGGCATATTTTAGTGCTTTATTTTATTATTATTATGAGGTTGCGGCCCTCATTCTTCTTTAGCATGCTATCTCCCGCCCTTAAGAGGTACACTTCTTCATCAAGGCTATCCTTAATTTCTTTAAAAGTCAATTAATTTACTTATTTTATCCACAGCTAGTATTAAAATTAAGGAGTGCATTTTAACGATCAAAATTGGTGAACTACAATATTTACAATCCTATAAACTGAAAATTCAACTTAGGGTTGAAAAAGAAAATTATTTAGATTAGAAAATATGTTTTACGTGCCACAAAAGAAAATTTGCACATTTTATGAAATTTTGCTTTCCTATTTTGTTCCCTATTTTTTTTTAAACCTGTTCACAGCTAAATTTGTTTTGCAATTTTATACTTCCTAGTTTGGTTTATTTGATTATGACAAAGCACTTGAGAACTATCTGCCTTAGAGGAGGGATGCCTTCACAGGGTACTTTCTAAGGGAAACTAGCTCATATCCATATTACACATTGGGAAAACCATGAAAATGCCCATGCAGCCAGCTCGTTTGCTTTGGAATCAAACCAAGTTAAACTACCAGTGTTCAGCAACTTATTTACTCAGCCGGTGGTGGCCTGACAGTTTTCTGGAATTTAATTAATACCACAATCCAAAAGATCATAAGATATGTTAATATTTACAAAATATATTGCAATTACATATGAATACCAAATTTATTACAATTATTTCATATTATAAACATATTAAATAAATAAATGGCAATGCAGAAAAAACAATTCAGAATCTGGTGCTTTGCAGTGAAGCTGTCTTCATCGTTCTAGCATGATAACCTGAAGGCTGTGTCACTGATTGTTTCGGCGTTTTTATAATACTTCTTCAATGACTGTAAAACATGATTTTAGAGCTGTCTTGAAAAATACTGGCCAATAAAGTGTCTTGATACTTCGTCAAGTAGTGATGTCATTAGTCACTCCAAATCTGCACGAACCCCGTACGTACTTAACATAAAGGAATAAAAAACGTAACTCGATGAAATATCAAAACACACTTTATTGGCCAGTATTATTCAAGACAGCTCCAATAACATATTTTTACAGTCGTCGAAGAACCACTATAAACACGCTGGAACAATCAGCGACACAGCTTTCCGGCTATCAAGCTATCATGATGAAGACAGCTTCACGCCAAAGCACCAGAGTACAGCTCCTGACTCTCCTCGGTTGTTCTCAGAACCCTAGGTATTCTCGAGACTCTTCATGATACAATTCACGATGCACTCGACAATACACTGGAGTACAGCTCCCGACTTCTTGGTTCACTCACCCCCAGAGCTAAACACACTCTCTCGACAATGCACTAACCGCGACACACTAAGAGATTTTTTCGCTGCAGTTGGCACTAGGCACTCAATGACTGACTATCAACTTAATGCACTCCGCACAAACTAACTAACTCTCCGTGTACCAGCAGGGTTTATATAGCTTTTGACTTGTGTTCGAGAACATTCTGGGCTAAACCGGTAAGAATTTGTTCCAGAAGGTTCTCCATCCGTCTATGACATATAGCCAATTTTGTAGCCAAATGGGCGATTTCTCACCAAATGTGGCAACCATGCCTCCCCTTGCCATTTTATGATAACCCTAAACCTGCTTCATGGAGAAGTTATGTTACTGCACCTGGACATTCTGTAACACTATTCATCGTGTCAGGTATGCCATCTCCCAGGCGAATATTTGCTCCCGTATACAGCAGGTCATACACAGGCTGGTGATGTCAGCATTATGATTTGGGGTACGTTCTCATGGGCTGCTCTGGGACCCTTAGTTGTGGTAGAACAGACTTTAAAAGCTGCGGACTATCTGAAATTAATTGCACATCAGTTGCATCTTCACATGGCATCTTGCCTTCTCAAATAAACAACACCCCTATCTCACAAGGCTCGAACAGTGTTGGAATGGTTTGAGGAGTATAAGGATGAATTCCAATTAATGTCCTGGCCATCTAACTTGTGGGATCTTCCCTTGATACAGCACATTTAGGATTTCACAGAACAGCAGCTCATAGCTCAAATACAGAATATCTTGACGTGACCACTGCTTAGACATTTTGTACAACCTGTCTCCAGTTATCTACCAAGAACTACTGGCATCCATGCCAAGATGAGCTGCAGCTGTTTTGCAGGGTAAAGGTCCAGCAAAGCTTTATTGAGTAGGTGGTCATAATGCTTTATGTTTACCTGTTTTCAGTTTAGTTAATTAATTGCTGTTTATGTAATTTTCAGTGTTTCATTACGGATGTTTCTTTCATATATGCAACACTTGCTTTTTCACTAGCAAACTCTGCAATGGCTACGTTTTGTTACAAGGGGGAAAAACTGCACACATTAATCATAACAAGCAGTAGCCAAAAAGATGACCATCATATCAAAAGCCACATTCTATGACGGTACAAAGCAGATGTAACCATTCATAGGTTGCTATAAATATACATTTCCAAAAAAGTCTGGGCTGCCTAATTGAGCAACATGACATATTGTCCGGTGATTCTTTTTGGTTGGTTGCATAAGCAAAGAGTACCTAAAGTTATTCTTATCAATAATTAAAAACAAACACAGTGATTTAGTTTCCAGAATATTTCAATTTAATTAATTCTTATATAGAAATATGAAATAACAAAACACATAAAGTCCATTTCTCAAGCAATACAATCATTGTACCAGATTCTAAATACTTTTAATTACTGCAACAAGTTAAATCTTCATGTCTTTTCACTTTCTGAAACTTGTGTACGTGCTTATCATACATACTGAACAGAAAAAAATTTATATTCTTGTACTTACCCCACAACCCAAAACATGACACATCCATCAGATCCTCCACTAGAAAATAACCCCTCATGTACAGGATGCCATGCAAGTGCTAAAAAATTTTGAAATAACAAGTAAATTACAAATAAATCACATTTAGTAGTAACTTTAAAGTTACTAGTTTTAAATTATAAGAAGATCCAAATGTTCAAGCACAAGATGCAGAGAATGACATACATGGATACTATTTTACATTGAGATTCCTTGAGTGGGCATCAGCTTAATCCACCTATACTGAGCAGTTTTTCCTAATTTAGGTTTATGATTCTTCAGCTATGTCTGGGTATTCTGAGCCAAGTATTTTGTGGTTTCACATTGCATGGAAAATTATGTGTATACAGCAACGACAGTTTCAAGAATTCGAGAGATTGTGATTAATGCTGATTAAATTGAATTATACCTCAAAAAAATACATACCAGATGTTTTAAATATTCTCACAAGCTTTGGCAAAAATATTGTTGTAAAAAAAGGTCTTGTATTGAATATGAGTACATTTCAAAAAAATCAAAGATTTAAAACTAATGGATTCAGTATATGACCTCTTCATTCAACTATGCAAAATTACAAATGAAATTAAATTGGAAAGAATAGATAAATAGAATAGGTGAGTAAGCACACATTTGCATTAATCAGAAAGCAATCATTTTTAACATTTTAAATGGTTAATCAATAATTTAAGTAACAGAAATGCTGTATTTCAGCTATAACTAAATGGAAAATGAAAATTTGTTATTGCAAAGCTTACTTTCTCTAGATTGACAACAAATCTATTATTCTGCTGTTTCAAATGTAAACAAGCAATGGCCGCCATGGAAAAAATTATTAGGCATAGCGGCACTTAAACAATCTTTAAATTGTTGATAATTCGAAAAATACTGCATACAGATTTACTAAAGGCATAAAAACCTTAAACAGAAGATAAAAACAACATAATTCAATCACTTTTAAAGCAAAACATGCACAATTTACAAACATATAAGAATACAGAAATTGAAATCACCGAGCCGAGTAACAGAGTGGATATATATACATACATACATACATTTATATACATTTGGTGCGGCCGATTGCAACCAAAATACGAGGTGCACATCTACATGTTATAGCAGTCCTATATATACAAAATTTCAACATTCTGATGCTACTCGTTGAGTCATGCGAGATGCATACGTACGTACGCACAAACACCACAAAAATTCTCTTCAGAATTCATTTTAAATTAGTTTTACAATTTTTTTGGGGGGAAAGAGTCCTTTATCCTGCCCTTACGTACAAATGCCACGCAAAAACATCGTTAAATTGCATTTTGATAGCAGTGAAAATGGATATTTGTATTGAAATATGATGCCTGAAACTTTCCACGATTACAATACTTCCTTTTTACCTCATACAAGGAAGTTGGTAGACTTAAATGTTTTAAAAATAAACTTATAGCTTCCGAAACAATATTTGGATGGTGCCTTCAAGGCCGGACTGATTCTAATGGTAAATTGTTAAGCATGGACATTATTGTTGACGATAAATTGGTCTCAACACAGTTAAAGCAGTTTTGGGAATTAGAAACATTGGGAATTTAACAAGGGAAGGAAATTAGAAAAAAAGATAATGACATTTTAGAGAATTTTAGCAGAACTATCAAATTTAAAGATTTGTGATATGAGGTTAAACTCGCTTGGAATGAAAATTCGTCTGAATTAAAAACGAATTACGTAAATGCATAAATTTGCTTTAATAAACTGGTTAAAAGGTTGAGAAATGATCCACTGCTTCATCAGCAGTATCACTCGGTTATAGAACAACATTTAAAAATGGGTATAGCCGAGGAAATTGATCCAAGTTCTGAAGAAACAGGAAGAATTTATTACATGCCTCACCAGCCAGTTATTCGACATGACAAACCCGTAAGAGTTGTATTTGATGCATACAGCCATTCGAAAAGTGAATATTCTTTAAACGATTGTCTCTATTCCTGTCCTAATTTAAATCCACCATTGTTAGAGATATTAATACAATTTCGTACACATAGCATAGCATTTACTGACGACACTGAACAAGCCTTTCTCCAGATTTCTCTGTCACTTGAAGATAGGGATGCTGTAAGATTTTTGTGGGCAAATAACCTTACACATAAGGATGGGAAACCTAACACGAAAATACTTAGGATGACTCGCGTTTTGTTTGGAACTACATCCAGCCCATTTTTGCTTCCCGCTATTATCAAACATCACATAAATACCTTTAAAGAAACAAATCAGAAAGCAGTTAAACTATTGAACGAATGTTTATACGTAGACGATTCAATAGGTGGGAATGAAGACGAAAACGAAGCTAAACTCATATATGAAGATATTAGATATATATTGAAGGCTGCTGGTTTCAACATGCGAAAGTGGAAATATACAGGAAGTTTTTGACGAATACGAAAATGGTGAAATTCAGAAAGTTCTTTATTTTAGTTATTGGGATATAAATGGAATTACAAGGAAGACCTTCTGAAGATAGAATCACAAAATCTAACTAATCAAGCTCAAGGGAAAACAAAGCTAATGACAAAAAAAGAAGTTCTTAAAACCTTGCTTTAGGATTCCATTGGATTTATAAGTACATTCACTATTAGGGCAAAAATACTAATGCAGGAAATTTGGCAACTTGGAGTAGATTGGGATGATCCGTTACCATTGGACTTTGAAAACAGAATGAAAAAATGGACTAATAAACTGTCAGTGATTCAGAATGTAAACATTCTGCGATATTACTTCCGAAAGACTAACAAGTCTGAATTGAGAGACATTCAAATGCATTGCTTTACCCACGCAAGCCATAAGGCATATGGAGCTGTGATATACCTGCGATACGTCATGACGGACAGTGAAGTAGGAAGTAGTTTTGTCATTTCCAAAACCAGAGTAGCTCCACTGAAGAAGCTGTTCCTTCCAAGATTAGACCTGATGGTGCGCTCATCGGAGCAAGATTAGCCTCAAATGCGAAACAACAATTAGAGAAAAAGACTTCCAGATGAATGTATATATTTCTGGTCAGACTTCTTCTGTTACGTTACATCGGATAAAGGGCGATTTAAATAAATGGAAGCCATTCATCCAACATCGAGTAATGGAAATACGAAAGAAAACATCACCTGAGTCCTGGAATTATTGCCCTGGAGATGAAAATCCAGCTGATATGCTGACCAGAGGAAAGAAGACAAATTTCACGAAAGGAATAACGTTGTCTGAACTACGAAATAGTGACATGTGATGGCATGGACCTAAGTGGCTATTACAGAGCATCGATTCGTGGCCAAAACTTCCAGAATCAGTAAGAGATCTCAAAGATAATGAACAGCTTGAACTTCGAAGGGAAGCTGTAGAGAACTCAACAGTCATAGTTGAAAATTCCATTGAGAACGAATTCATTAAAAGGTATTCGTCATTTAGCAAATTGATTAGAACTACTGCATGGGGTGTTTAAGGTTTTGCCTAACAACTGTAGAACCAATCCGCCATTAAAAAAAGAAAGTTTTTTGAGTGCTTCTGAATTACAGAATGCAACAAAGGTGCTATTCAAATGTGTACAGCATTCTGAATTTCAACCTGAAATTAATTTCCTGCAGTCAAAACGATCAGTTCCAAGTAATAGTAAGGTTTTATCCTTAAATATATTTCTTGATGAAGATAAACTTTTACGAGCTGGTGGGAGACTAAATTTCTCCAATCTTTCAGAAGACCAGAAACATCAACTTCTTTTACCCAAAAGACATCATTTCACTGAATTACTCATAGATTATTATCACAAAAAATCTCTTCATTCAGGCATTCAAACAACACTTTCTCTTATTAGACAATTATACTGGATACCCTCCGGACAAGAAAGAGTTAAATAAATGCATGACGTGCTTTCGGACGAGGAACCAAACCATAAAGCAAACGATGGGAGACTTACCTAGAGATAGAGTTGTAATAACTAGACCATTCGAAAAAGTAGGACTGGACTTTGCAGGTCCAGTTATTACCAAGCCTAATTTGAAAAGATCTAGGGTTACGTTAAAATCATACATCACGATATTTATTTGCTTTAGTACAAAGGCTATTCATTTAGAAGTAGTATCGGATTTGTCTACTGAAGCATTTCTAGCATGTCTTAGAAGGTTTATTGCCAGACGATCTAAACCATCCATTGTTTGGAGTGATAACACTACAAACTTCAAGGGAACGAAGAATATTCTTGATAAACTCTTTAGAATTTGTAGATCGGATCCTATTCAGCGCTTTATTTCCGAAGAAGGTATAACATGGAGATTTATTCCTCCTTCTTCCCTGCATTTTGGCGGATTATGAGAGGCTAATATAAAATCAATGAAGAGAAATTTGACAAAGGTCGCGAAAATGACAATTTTGAACTTTGAAGAGCTGTATACATTAATTACACAAATAGAAGCTTGCTTGAACTCTCAACCTCTGTCACCTATTTCGGCTGATCCAACAGATCTTCAGCCTTTGACTCCAGGTCATTTCCTAATAGGAGCTCCACTTTTGTCGATACCAAAACCGAATGATTCTGCAGATTCTTTGACCTTGTCTTCTAGATGGACTTTAATTCAAAAACTTAGAGCTTAATTTCTGGAACCGTTGCAGCAGTGTGGAATATCTTAATCATTTGCAGAGCTGTTCAAAATGGAATCAAGTGAAATGCCAATCTCAAGGCAGGACAACTAGACTGTTAAAGGATAAAAACAAGACACCCATGAAGTGGACACTAGCTGGCATTGAGGAGACCTTTCCTGGTCCAGATGGACTAGTACGAGTCATAGACGTCAGAACTTCAGACGTGGAATCTTTCGTCGAGCCATCTCCAATATCAGTCCACTCCCATTTCCAAATGATGCTGGGTAATTGTCTAACGGTGGCGGGGATATTCCGGTTTGACTAGAAACTTTCACTCTGCCGATGTTTCGGTTTGATTAAAAACAAACTTTTCTCTGCCTCGGAATGGCAAACAGTGAGAACTTGACTTTCGATTTGTTATGACACAGCTAGAACACTGCTCATGAGATGTAACATTAGATTCGATTCCAGATTCTAGATTACATTAATTTGTTTAGTATTTAATAAATCCTTTTAAAACTAGATTGAGTATTTGATCATAGAATTATAACTGAACCACCGCTTGCAGAAATTTAGATGTGGCATTTAGATACGTTGTTAGATTCATAGTTAGATGCGTAGGCAGCGACATTCATGATTGGATTAGTGTACATTAGTGTGTGCATAAAACAGAAGTAAAAATCAACAAGCACATGATAACCATTCTTAGTGTCAGGAATAGTGTTAAATATGCTAACCATGCTTATCACTCGCGTTTCAAGACTGACAGGGAAGAAATCTAGATACAATAGCTAGAAGCAACATCTTACATCTAACTGCTTGATCTCACTTACACATAAACACAAATGCAACAGTTTGTACCTTAATGCTTTTTGGTAGTTTCAACTGAACTTCTACATTTTTGAAGCTTGTACTTTCCCAGTAAATTTTTGATTTCACACAAGAACAGGAGGATTTAATTGGCCTCAATTATTAAGCCTAAGCTGCTCTATAACCTGGAATCTTACAATAGCTTAGAATCCAACAGAAAACAACAATTCCTTTCCCATTTTCAATAAGTTTTATTAATGAATTCCTTAACAATATATTTGATGGATGCTTCCTAACAACATGATCTGATGATTTTTGTCATAATATGTCTGATGAATACTTTGTGTTCTATGGCACCTGAATATCAATGTAGACTGCCACGCCTTCTCCTCTATAGCCTTGCAGGCTTTAACAGTATTACACACTTCAAGATGAAATACAGTAAGTACACAGACATATTATGCATTCAGAATGGATGTAGAATAAGAACTAGGGACAGCTATGTACTTTGCTCTTACAGTGCTACACACAATTAATAAAAATAAACAGAGAGCTGTCAGATTATTGTGAAGAGTAGATGGATAAATTTCAGATTAATCTATCATTGTTTATGAGTTACTGAATGAACACAGCATGATAGCTGCCCAAAGAAATATGCTTCAAGCAAATTGTTCTGAGCCTTCGATCATTACAGTTGTCATGTCATAATAACTTCAGTTCAACTGTAGCTTCAATGGCTGTCATGGATAACATTTTAAATAGTTGAGACTGACTGCATTGGATTTGCAAATGAATCCCAAACGAGACAGACATTTATGACTGCAGTGACTTTATAAAACAGGACATATGAATCTAAATTTCCTACCAAACAGTTTGTGATAGTATGAAAAAGAGATGAATGAACTTTATTTTTTACATTATGGGATGCTTCTAGTAAAAAAGTTGTATGAATTTTAGGTAGTTAACATTTGACCACTATTATATAATCTCAGTACTTTCACTGATCCAAACTTTATGAAATTTGCTTATAAAAAGGCTATATAATATCTTCTCTTAAATTAAAAATCTCAACAAAGATATTACCTTACTTTTCCACCAAAGGAAAACAGTGTGGATTTATATTTTAGAGTAACATAATAATTATAGTTTTCTTCGGCTTTTCAAATTACTTATAATAACAAAAAACATATTCTTACTTGTAGCTTCTTTTTTGTGCCCTCGAAAAGTCTGCATTTCTTGACTCATATTTCTAATATCAAACAGCTTTATTAGATGATCACGTGAAGCAGTTAATAACCAATTTCCATTTTTGTTCCATTTGGCATCCATTACAGTATTTTTATGTGCATGTCTAATAAAATAAAATTAAAATAATTAAAACAATAAACATAATATAAAATCAATATCAGAGATAAATTTATTTAATAGACAAATAACTTATTAATGTACTTAGAACATGAAGAAAATTTGTGCATACATAGTAGCAAGAGACTGTCCACTTTTGGGATCCCACAGTTTGATAGGTTGCTGACTGTCTTTACTTCCAGATACAATCAGAGACTTTTGAGGATGCCAATCAACACATTTAACATCAGCACCATGACCTTCATAATTAAAAATACCAGGTAAGCAATTGAAAGAAACCTGAATTTTTTTTAAGCAGCAAAAAAATATAAATAAGACAACATATAGCTTTTTTAGGAGTTGTTCTCATTGTACATTACATAAAATAGATATACGATGAATATTATTTTGAAATTAAGTAGTTGCACATTACTGTTTGAATTTACAACTAAGAGGCAAGAAATATTATTATTCTTAATTATTGATTGCAGTGCTCTTTGCAATAAAAGAAAAATAAATACAGTTTACTTCCTTCAGCATTTCCATTCAGCCCCACCCTCTGCTCACAGAAAATCAAATTTCAATGATTTTATTATTATTTATTATTATTTTTATATACACCCATTTATGTTTTACAGTAACACTAGACGAGAAAAGGTTATAAACTTAAAAAAAAAAAAAAAAAAAAAAAAAAAACTACATCAAAATCAAATCCTTTAAAAACACTAAAAAGTTACACAATAACTATCCTGTGAAAAGCTGAATGCATTTAAAGGTTGTGAACGAATAAAGTTTTTAACAAATTAACTTAATGGCTTTAATAAGCATTTATGACATTTTGGTAAGATACACATATTTCTCACAAAATGTAAAAAAATTTCTGATTATCACATTAAATGAATACCTTACATTTTTCTTTTGGCATCACTGGCCAGGTGGGTCTGAGTGTACCCTCAATATATTACCTTACATATAATAAAAATAAATATGATAAATCTTATTTACAACAATTAATGAGGTAAAAAATCTAGGTGCTAATAATTACATATTTAACCCTGAACAAGTCAAAATACAGCAATATCATACATAGTCTTGGTAATCACTTCCCTCATTATTCAAAACTATTTGAAATCAGATTAATCAAGGAACTAAACAAATATTTTTTAAAAAGAATAAAAAAAACTACAGTTGGTTCTAAAAAATACTTTTTTTTTTTCAATATATAAAACATGACTAATAAATGTAAATGTTTTTTTCATTAGAAATAATTTTAAAGAATGCATGTTTTATAATTCATTTTTTATTCTCTATAAATTATAACATTGATGTCTACACAATTTTCTTTGGGTTTCTTCTTCATTCATTTCTCTGTAGCAATTAATTTCATTTTTTTGTCATTCTTTGAATTGCAAGATTACATTCAGTGCTAGAATCAACCTACATAATATTCTCTCATAAGGTTTCAACTACTCAACACTTTTTTATAGCTGTTCAGCTGTCTATTCTCGTACGGGTGCTTCGATAAAAATTTTTTTTCCTAAACTGCCATCCCATTCTTCATCTATGTTAATAAGTTTTCATGAGCTAGTTCATTAATATTTGAGTGAGGCATTCAGTTATATTGATGGAATCTAGTTCTCTGAAAACTAAGTTTCTGCTCAATATTCACTATAAGTTTTAAAATAAACAAAATCATTTACATAAAATTGTATGATATGTTTTCATACTGCCCTCATATTGCTTGCCGTTAACTCATGTCATGTTTTGATCACATTTTGGATAATGTTTCTGATGATGCATTCTTTGAAAATTCCATTGCATTTCCTCCTGCTGTAGTTTTTATAATTTGTGAAAATATGCAGTCAAAATAATAAGCCTTAAATATTGCAATGATACTTTGATCAGTTGGTTTCATCAATGATGTCACATTTGATGAAAGAAAAGTTATTGATATATTTTTATTTAAATCACAGAGACCAGTCAGATGACCAGAAAATCTAAAATGAAAAAAAAAAAGGGTAATGTTAAAGAGGCACTGGTTTCATTTTGAGATTTCTTGCTGCGTTTCCACTTGATGACAATATGAGATAGTTTTTTAAATCCAGAACACAACTTTTCATTGACTGCTATAAAGAAATGTTACAGCAACTGTTTTTCAGAATAAACTAATTTTGTTAATATTGAATATTTTTTTTCCATCTTTGTAGCCACATTTTTGCATGCTTTCACTAAATTCTTTTGACTATTTTGAAGCACCCACTAAATCTGTACTGACAGGTTCACCAGAAATACGAACATTGTGAACAACAGTTCCTTGCTTTAAAAAAACATTTGTGTGTGTGTTACCTTTATTTATTAAATATCATGTTATTTGCACTTAAACCATAAAACTCAATTCAACAGCAATATTGCAAAATAATTTTAAAATGAGCATATCTTTAGAATTTCCGAAACACAGTCTCATGTGCTGTTCCATACAGTGTTGCCATTCTTCACTTTGAAATCGTTGAGTTTGTTAATCAAAAATTACTTAAAGTGTTAGAAAATATGAAATCAATAATAAAACAAATATTTCAAATTCCAAATTAGGGCTTCCAGATGCTCATATTCGGTGGAAGATTACGTTATGCAAAATTTGATGGCTCTAGGTACCACTGTTTTATCACAAGCGAGAAACATACATACATTTATGCCGATTCTTGTTTATTTAATTTATTTAAATATAACACAGGGTGATAATATTTGGTGGTAACAATTTGAAAAGTGAACCAACATTTAAAGTTTTCAACAAAGAATATCAAAATGAAATTAATAGCCCTTTTGGGCTAACGCCCTTTGGGCTAAAAACAAACCTCCACAACTTGCCATCATATTTTTACTATTTCCCTCTCTTTCATTCTCTATATAATCTATTGTCTTAAAACCATTATAAAAACTTGATGCTTTGGCATAAATTCCATTTGACTAAGGGGAAATCATATTTGATTTAATTGTTGACCAATATGAGTAAAATCCTTTCCTTGTTTACTATCCACACACATCTGGTGTTAGTCAGTACTTTTGATAACTAAGACATAGCCATGGCTTGTGTTTAAAGAAGTATTAAAATTTTATAAACTTTTATTAATTAATTTTATTAATTTAATTATTAAAAGGCTTTACTGCAGATTTACATTTTAAAAACTGGAAGACAGATGTTAATTCAACATTAAAGTTCATGAATATTCACTGCTTACTTGTATTATGTAGCTTACACATTAAGAACAGGACAGGAAGGAGGAGATAGATAGAACATTAGAATTTCATCATGGATTTCACAGGTATAGACCCACCACACTACCTGTATAGTTCCATCCTAATTTTTGATGGAAAATAGCCTGGGAAACTGATCTGAGGGTCTTTCACCTCTTTCCCTATCACCAAGCAATTTGAGACAACTTTTGGCTTGTTAGTATTTTAAATGTCTTCATGCCACATAAACACTAATGCCTTCTGGAGTATTTAACATGTGCCCCACAGTAGTTAGAAAGCCACTCTAACAATCAGGGCCACAAACAATAAGTAGGGCTGTTATGAGTGCACAGAATTACACCTTTCATTCATTTCATACAGACCTTTAGACAATGGTGGGTGTTGCTACCAAACTAACAAAAAGTTATATATAGTATGCTTTGCCTCTGCAAAAATGCAAAAATGCAAAAAAAAAAAAAAAAAAGGGAAGGGTTACATTTAGGGTTACATATTACTCATTCTACCGAATGATGAAATTGAACTTGTATTTATGTCTTGAAAGTGTGATTTAGGATATATATTAGATTTCTATACTTGTTTCAAAAGAATAAATTGAATTTAAATACAAATTTAATTAATTCTTTGTGCCATTGCTGCAAGGAATGAAATTCAAAATTTAATTTTAACAAACATGTATATACGTAAAAAAGCAAATTTAAAGATAAAATAATTAAAAAATGTGCAAACATATAAAAGATTTAATTTTCGAACTAATCTACAATATCATTTAAATTCAGATAGCATAAGTAAAACAAATGCAAAACCAAACCATGAAAATAAATTCACCAATTTAGGAAATTAGTTTTTCTTTCTAGCAAGTAATTCAACACAAAACTGGACTTTTTCTGAAATAACACGGCAGTTTTTTTTCCATATTTTGATTCTACGTCTCCAATTGTACGCATGTAATTTCAGTAAATGTCTGACTTCGTATCAAAATATGTGTAGAGTATATAAATGTAATATACGAAGTATGACACAAACACACAAAAAAAGGCTAAGTGTGTAGCTGGAAAACAGAGTGGAGTTAGAACAACTGTTTTGGTGATGTCATGCCACACACCTCCTTTATCCATGTAGCCAGTTTTGACTTGACCGACCACGCTAGTGGGGAGTACTGTGTCATTGAGTGAATATGTGCGCAACTGCGCTCTGCCGAAAAAATATATAACGTAAAAACCGAGCAGAGAATCAACATCAAGTTTCTTGTGAAATTTTTAAAAAATTAGCCATGGAGGAAACATTTTAAATGTTAATCGAGGCTTATGGAGATGAAACTTTGTCTCATGCATGCGTGTTTACAGTTTTAAGGGGGAAAGGACAGTGTGGAAGATGATGAACGTACTGAGCACCCCCTTGGGCTCCCAGCCCGTTCATCATGGTTGCTTGGGTTTCCAGAAGTCAGAAAGATGTTAATCAACACTACAACACTGAAGTACTAAAAAGACTTTAGGCCAGGAAATTAGGAAAAAAAAAAAAAAGGCCACAGTTGTGGAGTGATTGATGGCTGTTGCACCAGGACTATGCACCTACTCACACAGCCCTATTTGTCACGCAGTTTTCTGACCAGCAAAAACATTACTGTGATGGGGCATCCTCCTTATTCACCTGATTTGGCTCCATGCGGCTTTTTTTTATTTCTTAAAGTTAAATATTACTTAAAGGGAACCCATTTTATCTCAGTTGAAGAGGTTCAGGCAAAAACGGAGAATCCCCTGAAGGGCCTTCCAAAAACCTCGTTCCAGAAGTGTTACCAGCAGTGGCAGCACCAAATGCAGAAGCGTGTGAATGCTAAAGGGAACTACTTTGAAGGTGATATAATGTCACGGACAACTGATTCTGTATTTAATGATTTATTGGACTAGTCTCCTTTTTTTTTTTTTTTTCGTGTGTGTGTGTGTGTCACGATTTGTATATTCTAAGTCATGCTTTCGAGACATGAAAAATGCAAAGGGTATTTGGTTAACTGGCTGAGTAGAATGGGAAATATAAAACATCCTTTTTTTGGGGAGTCAATGTACATGCATACACAATACGGAACCTTAAAAAAAAATTAAATACATATATTGAACCATGCAAAAAGAGAACTGACTATAGAAAGGAGGAACAATGGTAATTCATATATTAAAAAGAACATTTTACACTTTTCTAGAGTTTCAATTTATTTTTCTCAATTCAAATTTAACTTCCTTTGGAAATTTTCACACCAGACTACAGTGAATCTGAACTAATTAATACTGGATCGTGCCAAGTATTGTTCTATTCTTACGTACAATTTAATAATTAATTTTTACAAAACAAAAAACACTTCACATAATCTGGAAAAAATCTTGTATAATGTAACAGAAATATCTACATTAATGAATGAAATAAGGGGGATAGGAAGAATATTTTCAAATGACTTGACTATGTAAAATAAAGTAATATACAGGGTGTCCGAAAAGTCTTTCCCTGATTACATAAATTGATAACTCAGGCTAGAAGTAAGATACAAATATGAAACTTGTGTCGAATTGTTTACAAACTATCAAAGTTTTTTTTCCTGTTTTAGGTTCGCAGTACATAAGTAGTGGATGAGGTGCAGTGCCCAAGAAGCCATGTTAACCACAGTCGTTGAATCGATCCCTCCAGTGATGTTGGGTAATGTGTGGACGGAAATTGAATATCGCCTAGATGTGCTACATGCTACCAAGGGTGCTCATGTGGAAGTTTACTGATGTGTGAAAAAAACTTCTATAGTTTGTAAACAATTAGACACCAGTTTCATATTTGTATCTTACTTCTAGCCTGAGTTATCAACTTATGTAATCAGTGAAAGACTTTTCGGACACCCTGTATTTAATTAAAAATATTTCTAACAAATTCATTTTAAACATTTATTCATCAATTATAAATAGCAAATTGCACATTTGAATTAACAAACAAACATTTATTTAGTACATGTTTTCCCATGCATTCAATCAGAGTTAGTGCTTACCTCTAAGAATTTTTTCTTCAAAGCACTTCAAGAAGTCCCATATGCGAACAGTGCCATCGTCTGAACATGTCACAAATTTTGTATCAACAGGACAGAAACTGGAGAGTAATAAATAAACACTTTCATTAAAAAACTTAAAAGAACTCTATTCAATTTTGTTTCTTATACAACAATTTTTATCAAGCTAGAAAATTTAATTATAAATACTTAAAACCTGCTGACTTAATACATACTAAAGGAGATACATAGTTTAGTTGGCTACAGTAGGTACCACTTAATGCAATCATGTCAATTTATGGCTATTTAGATAACATTAAATGATAAGAAAAAATATCAATCAAAATAACAAAGTTTAAACTTCCTTAATTTAAAAATATTCTTGCAAAATGCCCAGATGCAGTAAGATAGCTTCACCACAAAGCCTGATTACAGCTGCGTGAAAGTGGCAGGTAAACACAGGTTTGCCATATTTGAACCGAAATCACCCATTTGCCGTATTTGGCAACAAAATTGCCGATGTGCCATAGAGAGAGCAAGAAGGTAGGTTTAAAGCTATATATACCCTGCCTGTACACAGAGAAAGTAGTGCAGCAGTGGTGTCTTCAGTAGCTTGAGAGCGATTGATTAAGTCGGGAGTTGTATTTAATATTTTGCAGCAAAGCTGTATTCATCATTATAGCTTGAAGACTGTGTTACTGATTGTTTCAGCATGTTTATTGCAGTTTTTTTTTATTAGTGTAAACGCATCTTTGGGACTATCCTGTGTAATACTGGTGAAAAAATTTTGTTTTGGTCCTTTATGAAGTGTTATCATCAATTACTCTAAATCCGCGAACCTGTAGAATGCAACAATATCAAGAAATATATAAATAGGCATTTTCATAGCATTTTACTAAGGAAAATGCAAATATTCACTTGTCTTTAAGCAAAAGTTTTTTTTTTATGAAAAGTTCAAGATGTTTGAAGAAATTACTTGACCAATGCTGCACCTCTAATTTTAATATTCGAAAGGCATCCCTCATTGGAAGAGAAGATGCAAATGTAAAATTTTAAATTAAGCCAAAAAGCAACCTTAATTTGTTGTAGACTTTTTGAGGGAATTCCCCCCTTCCCCAAGGATTACGAAAAAATTCTGCAATCCACAACCCCCTGGTTGAAAAAGAAAAACTTGTGTCTAATCACTTTAAAAATTGGGTGTACATATAATATATATTTAAGATATAATAAAATACAATGGCTGCTTGAAAGAGATTGACAACAAAGAAGAAATGATTGGCAACCTCCAAATTAACTATTCTAGATTTTATGTTATCTCCCCTAAATTCACCTGTTCTTCCAAATTCGAGAGCTTTCCATGTTACATAACACCCCAAAATTAACCAATCACAGATTAGCTGTACTTACTGCATCATACTTAGTATAAATACTCTTTGCAAAAACATCTACGTGCTGCCATTCATTTCTGTCTAAAATGCTTACGTCGTACTTTTAAAATCAGTACACATAAAAATTACTGTATTTAACTATGACTGGACAAATGCTTTGTCTACCAAAAAGTGATTTGACATGAATTATCATGGAATAAAGTTGTGTTTAGAAACGGCCATGTCTGGAAGTTACTGGTTTCTGCATCTATCTCTCAAACTATGCACCTAAAATACTACATAGAGAGAGTTATAAATAGATATCAAATATATAGTTATTCAAAATCTACATCAATGTGAGTTTCTTTTTTGCCCAATTTTAAGTGGTTGACTGAAATCAAAACAAAGCTATTTAACAATTTAACTCCTCACATGGCAACATTTTTCTGTCATTTGGGAATTTTTATAACTTATTTTGACGTCACTGGCAAACTTATCCTTCATTTGGCAACTTTAGTTCAAAACAATTATTCTTTAATAGTCAGATAGCATTAACCAAAATGTTGATCACAATAAATGATGCATTTTCCATGTTTTTCACATAAATGGGCAGGACTATGGCAAACCGATAACAATATCCACATGATATCAAATAATGATCACATTAAGCGGTGTCTAGTGTATGTAACTTCTTCTATACACTTATAAATCAAGCTAAAACATGAATTTTTACTTGATAATACATAACAACATACCTGTTAAAACATAAAAATTTCATCAAAATAATGCAATTTTTTTCCTCAAAAGCAATTACAGTATTATTATGCACACCTAAGAAGCTTCCATGGACAAAAGCAAATGCAGTATTATTACCTGCACCTAAGAAGCTTCCGCAAACTATCCAGATTTAAGATTCCAAAAGATACAGAAAAATCACACATTAAAATTCATAATATAAATAAACAAATGTATAAGTTGTTTAGTTCATAAACTTTAGTCCACCATTATAAATTTTATATCGATTAGCTCATAAATGTGAAAATAATAGCTTTGGTGCAATATACAAGTATATTTAATTCCCACTATACCATATAACAACATAGGGGAAAATGCAAGTAATTAATTCACTATTTTTTATTTTCACATACCTTATGCCTCTTAATGGTTCTTTATGTGCCTGAAACATCTTCACATTGTTCATATTACTTTGCCAATATTTCACATAACCAGCATGGTCTCCAGTTACCATCCATACATCATTATGACTCCACACCATGCATCGCACAGGGGAATCATGAGCCTTTATGTTAAAAGGGGAAAATAAATATATTTGTTTGCAAATCTGATTGTATAACATAAGGTATAACCTCCATAATTAATAAAAAAGTTTAAAATATTAATATCAAAATTAAAATAATGTGTAAGTATATAAATATATATAGCGAGGGAGACACACAGACTTCCTACTGTATATATCTTGATCTTTTTAGTGTATTTGTACCGTACATATATTTTTCGGACTTTGTACTCTGTGGGTGTCTAATTATCAACCACCACGTTATACAAGAAAATAGCATATGTAATTGCCTAATGCCTGTCTACAATAAATATGTCGATCCTTTCCACCAACATTTTATTACTGGAGATCTCAATATCATTGAAGATATAGAATTACGAACCCTTATGCAACTTGGCACCAAATTTCGTCCTACTTTTGGTATTAATAAGCACTTTTGCCTCAAACAATTCAATAATGATCTTGATAAATTTATCATATTAGCTAATAATAGATCCAATTTGCCTACTACAACTTTTCTTGAATGGAAAGCTGCACTAATTAAAGAATTTCAACATATGCTTTTCAAGTCACCTTATTTCAATTCTTTGCTCAGTAAAAAGCAACTAGAGGACATCTTATTCAAAAACTGCAAGATAACTTTATCATCACGAACATTGACAAAGCTAGCAATAATTTTAGTGTTATTTGAAAAAAGTCATCTTTAAACAAAAGTCATCTTTAAACAAATACAGGGAATTCCAATGTTTTCCTTCAACCTTCTGCATAATGAATTAAATAACAATTGCACCTTACCAAAAAATTACTACAGCACTAAGATTCTTCTCAATAAATTTAATGCACTACATAAAAAAGACTTAAAATACATCCACAGAAATATAACAAAAGGTTTGCAAATCTCTATGCACTACCAAAATTTCATAAGTCTCCAATAAAATCCAGGTTCATAGCTAATAGTACCAAAAGTTATCTTAAAGAAATAGATTATCCTTTTGCGCAAAAACTTTGACTAATACGTGACCTAATTAATAAATATGATTTTAAGGATCTGCATTGCAACTGGATGATTTCAAGTAACGAACTAGTTCTGAAAACTGTAAATTCACTCAAAATTGACCACATCCAATGCTACGACTTTGAAGACCTCTATACTACCTTACCACTTGAAGAAATATTTACAAGCTTACTTGCTCTTCCAGATTTATTTCTGCAAATTTCTACCATTATAAGCAACGAAAAATGGCAACTTTTCCTCTCCAGCGTGCTTTTCAATAATTTTATTCAATTTAACTATAGCATCTTTAAACAAATATAGGGAATTCCAATGGGAGGTAATTTTTCAAGTTCTGTCTGTGAATTATTCCTTTTTACAAAAGAATTGAACTTTGTCCGTTCACTCACCAACACATCTATAGATATATTGATGATGTAATAGCATTTTAACATACAAGATAGAAAATGCCAATATCTACCCTTCACGCCTAAAACTTAATACTACAAATACAGTGCAACATGACATTGTTCTACCTTGATTTACATATTATAAACTTACAATTTTTTGAAAATTTATGATAAACGAAGAGAATTCAACTTTCCAACACTTATATTAACCAAATGGAATTCCAATATTTCCAAAAGAGTCGCCCTCAATACAATTTACTTCACAGCTGCTTAGAATTAAAAGAATCTGCAGTACTACAAAACACCTTCAAGCAGAAGTACAACTATACTTTGTAATAATTTTGAAAAATAACCTAATTCCTCAGAAAAGTAATTAAAAATACATTAAAAAAGGTTGGCATTAGCCTTACCAATTTTTAGATTTTTTGAGTTAGATAGTGATATTTTATGCTTAAAGCCCAATGGGACGATATAAAGTGGATGGCTGATTCAGAGAATCGAATGGAAAAATGTACAGATAATTCTTGTCACTACATTTTCTTTCCTCCAAAAAATTTTGGCACAATACTTTTAATACTATTGTTTAAATAGTTTTAAATTACTTTGATGGCCAATTTTACTACTTTTATTAACAAATCGGGCCTTTTCGTTTTTCATTGTAGCTTGAAGAATTACCACTTTTTATTAACAAATGACTGTTTTTTCCTTTTTACTCTTATTTTTGTGGCCATGTTGAGTAATTTTAGCTGAATTAGCCATTTTCACTTTTAGAGGCATTTTTTTCTTCAAACAACTTGACTGATGCCATTTTGAAATCTTTCCACGTCTTCCCGAGACTCCCGACCCCCTTTGAAAATTAGAGACGAGTTACAGCCAACGGACAGTCTAATCGCATTGGCTACTGCCCAGTGATATGGTTCCTCCCTACTTACGTCACACGACGAGTGGGATGGCGATAAGGACACTGAGGGGAATTGCAACCCCTTGTCAACTTGTTACATGATGGAGAACTCTACATAACCACAGGTCTGTTTTTTTAGTTTCTTTTACAAAAAAATTTTTCTTGATCTTAGCAAGACCCGCTGTTTTCATTTAAATTAAATTTCAGTTTTCTAAAATTTATAAAGGTATAATTCTTTAAGCTTGCAGGTCCAGCCCGTAAGTTATTGTATTTTTTGACTAATAGCAGACTGCTTGTTCGATGTTATGCAAACTGTATTTCTTTCTTTGTACCAAGGAGCGGCGCAGACGCAAATTTGTTAGGTTTTTAAAGCTCACGTTTAGAGCTTTGAGGTTGCTGTGAATTAATGGAGTTTCAACTAAGCAGAGGTTCTTCTGAGTTTGTGTTGGTAAGCCGCTACTGAGTTTGGAGTTTGCAGTGTGGTCTTCGCCGTTCCTCAACCAACCTACTGTTTGAAAGCCAATAAAGAAGTTTCGGTCGACATTATGACTCTGAGGTTTCTTGGGTTCTATACTGAAGTAATATCAAGTCAATTTACAGTCCACTATTTTTAACAACGGATCGTACACTGCTATTTATTTTTATTTTTATCTTAATTCTTGTAAATCGGAATTGTTTTTACATCTTTTAACACCTTAATGTGTCATTTTGTGCGGACGCGTCGGGAAATTGGAACAGAGAATTTACACTAATAAATTTTCTAAGACAATTCGTCTATTTAATTAAAATTTGTAATGCAAAAGTTTCAATTGTCTGTTTTGGCAAAACGTGTAATGAAGTTAGCTTAATTCGACGTTCAGCTATAAATTTCCCTTGAAAAGCCAGGTTGAACTTCGGGTTAAGCTAATTTACCATTTTCCGGTTTGCATTGTTATATTTTTATATGTTTATGTTTGTTTTATGTTTTACTTGTTCCATCGATTGGTTTTTCTATGTTTTAACTTTACACTTGTCACATCAATAGGTATTGTATTTTTTGCTGTTACTAGTTTCCAAAGATTAGTATTTTACTGTGTTTAATTTAACGTGTAGCATAATATTTCACCCTTCAATGACATTATTCTTAAAAAATGTGTTTGATTTTTTCTTGGAGCCACAGCTCCTGGTAACTTTTTGGCAAAGCTTTCTACAATTTCTCATATCTTTAATTTTGCAGCATACTGCGCAAAAAAATTATTTAAGACCAAATTGGTCTTACAGTATTGTACTAACTACCTTGCTTTTTAATTTTATATGTATATATGTATACAGGGTGTTTCAGCATATCAGTTAAAAACTTTCAGGAGAGATATAGAGAACACTTAGACGATGATAAAACACATAGCAATGCTTTCCTGGCATATAGCATATCAGTTGGAAATGCTTTCCTGGCGCTGTAGTGATGAGACACAAAGCATAAGGAAAGAAGGACACGAACAGGATGAGAATAATGTTTTTTATGCTTAGTGCAGTGGAAACCAGGAAATAAGAACAAAAACAGATTATCGTCATCAAAGAAGGTATACGAAATTACGACCCGGACCATGATGCAGGAACTGCATAATAAAACATGTTTTGTCACACTGTTCCTGTTGTTCTTTTTTTGTGTTTTGTGTCATCACTACCGCACCAAAAAAGCATTTGAAACTATGCAGTGCTATGTGATTTTCCCTCATTTAGATGTACTCCATCTCTCCTGATAAAGTTTGTAATCGATCTGCTGAAACAATCTCTATATACAGTACAAAGTCCAAGAACCAGAACTGTTGGGAAGTTGATGATTTCGGATTTCAGAAATTTCTGTATTTAAGATCACCAGTTTAAATCTTGTAAGATGACATCTAAAAATTATTAAAAAATATTTTTATTAATATTTCTTTAACACAGAGATATTTTGCATGAAGATTTTTTTGTAAATCACCAACACCTGAAATTAAAATACGACTTGAAGTTAAAATGGAGATATTTTCTGGAATTGAAAGCCATGCTACCAATATTAATCGCTAACTGACTGAAGATTGAAACATTGTTATTACAATGTAAGATTCAGTTTTATCATCTTAATTTAGCATTCCTTCCCTATTCTATTAAACAGAAAATTTTACTTTTTGGAGAATATTAAAAAATTTTCAGATTTTTGGCTCTTATCATTATAAAATTTGAGTGCATGCAGTGCTTAAATTGCACTGGAGCCCACTGGAGTCAAACTAGTACCTCACGGTATTTTTTAATAAATCTTAATTCTAACCAAAGAGCACCTGATGCCTAAATAATAGGATTCCTTTTATGTCCAGCATTCCTTTCATGTAACTTAACTACAATTAAAGCAGAAAAGTCTTTTCCTCATGAAAATTTAATTTTAATAAGTTTTATAAATTGATTCTAACTTTTGAATGCATGACTGTCATTTTTTGGGAAACAAACCCTTTGATGAAGGTTGGTACTTTTAAGGAATGAAAAGCCCTCCCATATTCCAAGTCTTATTCTCTGGAATTTATGACAGCAGGTAACTTTTTCAACCTTAAAAGTTTCTCCTGCATTGGATGCACAAATTTCAACCTTGAAAGTTATGCATCCAATGCAGGTGAAATCTCCCAGGAAAGAGAAAATACAGACTTTTTGGAACAATGCAACAAAATATGGTGGAAGGGGCAAAAATTGTCAGAACTTTTATGCTTGTTCTAAGCTTATAGGTCAATCCTCAAAAGATTTGAAGAAAATTTCTCCCCTTCTCACATTCTGTTTGATAGCTAGAATTATATGAGCAAGGCTTCATGGTCTTGCCTTTACATTTCCATTAAAATTTTCTTCACTACACCATACTGTTCCTAGCATTTATACTATCAAATAGCATAACAATTATACTACCAGATTATAATCCATTTGTTTTATGAACTATACAGCACATTTTTTTTTCTCTATTGTATTGTGGTATTTAGTACTAATTGTGGTACACTAATTGTGGTATTTAGTGACTACAACAAAGGCTTTACAGCAATTTTATATAACAAATATTTTATATGTAAGTAATGGATTCATTAGAATTTTTAGGTTAGAAATTAAGGAAAGATGTAAGTATTAGATTAATAATAGCATTTTTGTATTAAAACATAACTATATTTACTAAAAATATGCACTTACCTGTAAAATAGTTTCAAAATTAAAAGTAAGCCCATTCCACAATGTGAATTCTCCACTTGACGCACCAGTCACTAAACGCCTCCCTTCTGGTGTCCACTAAAAAATATGACAAATACATTATAGTAATATAACATTAAATAACCAATAGCTCTTGCAATTAAAAAATAAATAAAATTACAATATACAATTATTCTTTTTTTCACACTAAGTTGTACTTCTAAACAACACTTTAATAGAAAAAATTCGCAATTAAAACATAAAATACATAACTGCAAAAAACACATCTGCTAAAAAACAAAAATTATAAACTAAATTGAATTTCAATACCTACCGCAACACAAAAAATGGGGCACCTCATTTTGTTAGTGGAAGTTCGAACAAATTTTGTAGTGACAGCATTTATTGGATTGTCTGGCATGGCTAATGGTGGTGTCATCTAAAAAATAAAAGAACATAATATAACATAAATTATATTGCAAAATGATCGTTGTGAGATAAATAACTTCAGAGGTTGCATTGCACCAAAAATAAAAGGTTTACTTATATCATAGGAAAAGATTTAATTCAACATAAATAGTTTGGAGAAATAAAACTGCAGACAGCAATTACAGCTACTAAGCTTATTTACAACATACTATACATTCAGTTAACTGCAATATTAAGTACACATTCTCTAAAACTCCCTGTAAAATCCTACAAAAAGCATACACAAGACTAACTGCATCCTTGTACACTGTACAAAAAAAAAGGGGGGAAACAGTTCTACATCTCCCATTCTACTGGGCCAATTAATAAAATTCAAATTGCGTTTTTCATTGTTACGTAGTGAATTTAAATTATTAATATGTGTTTAAAGTTATTATTATTCTAATATTTTTATTTGTATTCATGTGTATTTTAATCTGGAAAAAGTATTCTTAGGCTCTTAAGGTTTGTTTAACTCATGTTATTCTTGAGTAGGAATTGTAACAAGGCGAGAGACGGTTGCGGGACCATCTGGTTTATGGCCTTTTCCAACAATGGAGGCAGTAGGGAGTCGTGTGTCGCCCTTTTAACTGCGTGTGAAACGGAAATCGCTTTCCTGTCGCTTTGTTAAGGTTTGCAGTTTTCTTACTTCAAGACAGTGGGTGGTTAACTAACCTTGGTAATTGGATTCTCGTGGAGCTTATTTTCCGCTTATTAGTTAGGGGGTCTACTTTTTCTCACGTTATGTGTGCAGATGTTTTTCGGATTGCATTGTCAGATTTTCTGGTGTTTGATTCGTCATGGGTGTGTCATTTTCTCAATTTAGATAACATAAAATTCCGGGATTGGTAAGATTTAATTTTATGATTTTTTTGAAAGCCTATGAACTCACAGAGGCGGAGAAACCGAGATTTTCCTGGGTGCTTGCACCAGGCTAGAGATCATTCTGATTCAGATTTTTGGAGCGAAAAGGAAAAGGAGAAGCAGAAAGTTTTGCGGGGCTCCCCCCTTTGCGGAGCGAGCGACTTGTACAAGTGGGCTGCGGTGATGGTTGTAGCGGAGTCTGATTTGAGTGAATTTTGAGCAGCCGCTATGTGAAAGAAAAAAAGAAGCGAATGAGGGGCGTTTTGCCCTGCTGCTGGCTTTGCGGTGCGGCCGGTTGCCGAGGCAAGAGGACTTGGGTTGCGTTTTACTTTGCTCTAGAGAATTCTTTTTCTGCGGGATGTTTAAAAGTTTTGTGCGAGATGCAAGGAACATTTTCCTGCGTGATGTATGGAGAAATGTGTGCGAGCTGCAAAGAGCATTTTTACTGAGAGCTGATTGAGATGTATAGAGAAAAATCTACCAAGAAAATTTAGCACAGATTTTCTCTCTTCACCTGAATCGCCGGTTAATCTCCAAGAGCCTTTTTCCGAAACATTCAGCATAAATGTTGCCTCGCCGCTTCGATGATGCACGTGATTGTGCTAAAAAACTGGTGTATATTCAGCTACCTGTTATTGAATTGAAAAAAAGATCCTTCTGAATTGGACTATTGGTTCCCACCTAATGGACAGATAAAAGATCCTTCTAAATTGGACTATTGGTTCCCACCTAATGGACAGATAAAGCGATTCCTGGCTGTTTGAAGAATTATTAGACTGTAATTTCCAATCTAATGGACTTGTACAGGAAAAATGGGCTTGGCTCATTTCCATGTGGATTGGACACTAAGGATCCTGGCTAATCAGGAAAAACTGTTTTCCATCTGTGAGTGAAATTTTTTTAAGTATATTTTCTCTCTCTCTTTCTTAGTTTTCCCGAATGCAGAACAGTTAATAGTGATTTATCTACCAGTATATTGTTATTACTTATATAAATTAAATATTACAGTTAGAAAAAATTGAGAAGTTATTATTTATAATTTCAAGTGAATGCCAGTTTTAGGAGGATTAAATTTTGTTACACCTATTTAATTTGAAAAAAAAAAAAATGTTAATCTTAATTAATGTAAGCTGTAATTTGGTGTAGTATTATGTGTTATTTTGACTTAGAAAATATGTGGTAGGATTACTGATCAGTTATCCATTATTTAATTAAAATAGTCAAGAATTTAATAAATGTGTGTTTAAAATTTAATTGCTTTTGTGTATTTATGCAGAGTATATTTTACTGTGGTCTGTCATGTCCCTCCATTTGTTTGAGCCGGAAGGCTTTTAAGAAACATGGAGTTTAATTGAATTTGGGGTTATTGATTATTTCCTTTTGCATAGGTTACTCACAACGCAAACCTAAAAGTTAAATTGTACTATACCACCATACGATTGATTGATTGATTGATAGATTTGTTTTAATGTTTATAAGAATGTCGGTATGATATATGATTATGAATTAGATTTTGAATGTGATTTTTTATTTGATTTTTTTTTTTGTCGGCACCTTGCAGCAAATTTTTTCAAAGTAAAAAAACTAATTTTAATATACATGGTGCTGTGACTCGCATACAGACCACTATTAATTTTTGTGTATTTTATTTGATAATTTTATTTGATTCTATTTTTTTAATGTTAAAATTACGTTTTTTTATAAATGATGAATTTTTGCCCCCTAATTTTGGATCATTTATATTATCATAAAGTTTTTCATTAGAATTGCATTGTGTTATGTTGATTTCGATATGCTTTTAATAATTGCTTTTAGATTTCTAATTTTAATTGATTGATTTAATGTCTAGCAGTATTTTTGTGTTCGAGAAATAGTAATTTTTTTTTTAATTTCTTGCAGTGTTTTAATGATTTTATGGGACCAGTGATAGTTTATTTAGGGATTGATTGATTTTTTTTTTTTTTTTTTTTTTTTTGTGGAAGTTAACTTTCAGCGGGAGTGAAGTTTCTTGTTAGCTTTCTGAGTTTGAGTAATTATTTTCTACCTAGTTTGAATTCTGTGAACATTTATTGCTTCTGAAAATGTGAAAACGTAGAATAGAAAGTTTTGCGTTTTACAGCAATTTTGAATTGTGAATTTTGGAAAAACAAAGATTTTTTTTTGGAAGGGTAGAGTTGGATTTGTTTGGAGTTTTAGAAATGTAGTTAAAAAGTATTATTCTTGCTCTGTACTCATACTGTTTTTTAAGTGTTTTAATGGTAGTTCCATAGTGAGTTTACTAGTGAGTGGTCTAACATTTGTTTTAACAGTGATCTAATTCTTTTTTTGACTTTGTCAATTTTTGAGCTTTAATAGTTTTATTGCTTTTTGGTTTTGAATTTATTTTTTTTTTTTTTTTTATTTTTTATTTTTTTATTATTATTATTATTTTTTTTTTTTTTTTTTTTTTTTTGGCTGAACTTGTTGGCAGTCTTGTAGTAACTTTAAAAGTGGATGTGAAATGTGTTGTGGAAGTTTAAACTTGATACTATGGAATAAATTTGTTTGAGAATTTAAACTTGATTTTGTGGAATTAGAAATTACTTATGTGAGCTTAAGTGTGTGGAGATTTGAGAAAATTTTTGATTTGATTTTGAGATTTTAAGAGTAATTACTCCACTGAGTTTGTAATGAGTTTCTGTTTCAGTTGGTTGTCTTAAAACTTTTTCTTTTCTGGTTTCTGGTTATACTGGTGGTTACTGAAAAATTGTGATTCTCTTGAGGCTTAGTGTTTTCAAGGAGTTTTGTTTAAGTGGTTAGGAATATAGAATTGAGTTTTTGGATGGATTTTGAGATTTGAGTTGAGATTTTTCTGTGTAAACACTTCCCCTTGTCTGCTTTTGCATTTTTGTGCCTGCAGTCTTGTAGTTTAGTGTGAAGTTTCATGCTTATGATTGCTACCTAGTGCAAGCATACTCTTCATCTTCTTTATTACTCTCCAGGATCTAGACTTTGGAACATTGGTGCAGCTTGTTTTCTTTAAAAATTGTGGCAAACCCTTTGTTGGACCTTTCTTGTTTACGTAGAATTCTCTGTGTGTGTAACCTGCTTCGTTCGTTTGTTGGATTCTTTTGCTATTTTCAGAATTTGCATTTTTTTTTGTTTATCTTGCATTGTTTTTGATTTGAATTCCAATCTTTTTGAGTGTTGTTTTGTTTCTTGAAGAGATTCTAAGGTTTTCTTCCATATTTTAAACTGGTTTGGATAGGAGTTGTCTGCATTTGTGTGATTTCTTTTATTTCGGTTCGAGTTCTTGACCTCAATAGTGCTTTGCGTTAAGATTTTTTCGGCTGGTCCGAATTTTATTTCCTTGTTTCAAGAAGATATCTAAATTTTTATTTTTTCTTTTTGCTTCTAGATGCTCTAGTTTTTTTCGGCTTAATTTTTTTTTGGTCAAGTTCTCTTTCCGTTCCTGGGGGTGTTCTCCGTTTTTTCAACTTGGTTCAGTTCGGTGTTAATTCATTTATAATTTTTTTGTCACTGTGGTTGACTGGAAAGTTAAGGTGTATTTTTTTTTCCCTCACTAGTGATTTTTTGTTGTGTAATTTTTATTAACTTGTTTTGCTAGGATTTTTGACACTTCCCTCCGGTTGCTATTTAATTGGTTATATGAGTTGCATTTAGATTTGATTTAATTTTTAAACTTGATGCTTTGTAAGTAAATTTTTAATATTTTTTTATCACTGCTCTCCGTGACAACTATTTTGAATGGATTATTTATGGCACTTATTGGTACTATTTTGAAATGCTTTTTGTTTTGTTTTGAAAAAAATTTGGGGGGCTCAAATTTTTTTTTCCCTGGTGGGGGAATATTTATGTATGAATTTAAATTATTAATACATCATATCGTTAATCCGGAATCGTCGGACTTCGGCGATTCCGGTTATCGATTTCCGGATTATAGATCATCATTTTAAATCTCGTGATGGCATGCAGAATTCTAAAATTAAAATATAAACCGTAATTTATGATAAAGACATTATGATCTAGGGTATAAAATTTCAAAGAAAAAGCTTAATATTTATTTGTTTACTTTATTAAATTTCTTTTAATGTAAGTTGTTTAAGTTTTGCTTCG